GGCACCAAACTCACTCCTAGTTTATCCCAGTTTTAAGCTCCCTTTGATTTGCTGGTGTCATGCTAAGGGACATTGATGTAGGTCAAGATATGACTCATTCTGTGTCAGGGTTTAGAATGAGGTCAGTTACTAAGGACTACATTTAAAACACCAAAAAAAGAGTAAAGGGAAAATTCAGAAGACAACTACAAATGCTAAAAACAAGATGAAGCTCTCTACAAAGAACCTATCAAAAATAATGAAACTGTTCTTAACATTACTCTTACTAAAAATCAGGGTGAAAGAGTCTTTCACTGGAAGTGAAAGCATTGATAGTTGAGATGTTCAAGGTAAGATACAGGGTTGACAGAATTTGCAGTAAATATCTGGTGCTTCCTATTACAAATATATAACATTGGCATTTGGGATCAACTTCTTACATTGCTTTAAAGGATTTAGATGAAGTAGGGCTGTACTCAGACTGCCTAGGAAGTCAAAAGAAGGAGAGACGGAGGCATTTCCAGATGATAGTTGAGCTGAGGTGAGGTGCATAGCAATTTTCAGTAACTACACAGAAAGATTACAGTGCCTCAAGTCCTGATTTATACATACTTTTTTTTTCTTTTTTTTAGGTAAATGGGATGAACCAGAGCCTTCCTACTCAGTCTTCCATGATTTCTTCACTCATATCAATGGGAGACCCCACTAGACCAGATCCTCTGGAGAATCAGTAGTTAAATAATTTTTTTTTTATGGAACAAGGAGGGTGGTTTAAAAACAGGCCTTCGCAGAAGTCAAGCTCAAGTGAAACAGGGATATCTATGACCAGAAGTGTCAACTCACAGTTACATAAATCCACTGTGCAGATTCCCTTTGAATTTTTATATATATATATACACGCATATATGTATATATTAAAGCCAGTGAGTATCAATTAAACTGCCTTACAGACTACTGATGAAACCTAGACACACGTTTTAGAGAAAAGCTAAGTGTATAAGAAATGACAACCTTTCTGTAGTTCCATGATGAAACTCTGGCCTACTCCTGACAAAAAGCCAATTACCTGGGCACACCTCTGATGGGGTTGCTTTCCTAAGAGAGGGATTTCAATTGTCAAAGGTTTAAATGGATGTGAGAATGGGCTTGTACAAGGCAAACTGAGACTATTGTTGCCCTAAAGATACTGAATAATCAGATCCTTTGAAGTGGAAAAACAAGAAAGATTTTCACAACTGATACCTTTGTCCTAGTATCTTTGGAAAATTGTCACAGTTCTTTCTCCTGAAGGATGTTTGGGATACCAGACAAAAGTGAGTAGCCTTGGGATTGCAAATACCATGTTGTATATCCCTGCAAAAAGGCTTTATGAATTTAAATGTTACAATCACATATAAGAAACAAAGGCCTACCTTTATATTAGATCAGGAAGGAAATATAAACAAGGCCAAGAACATGTCTCTGAGCACACAAATCTGTAGAAGCATCAGGCAGGACTCTCAGACCACTCAATCCTTAGTCTCCCCCTTACCTGAAACAGGATCCATCGCATTTGCTAGATTACTTTCTTTTCTGGTTCATTACTAATCAGATAACTTTCCTGAGTGATATTTAGACAAATTTTTTCATGTTTACCTTGCAACTTTCTAATTGTTAAGCTGGTACGCTGAAACAAAATAGGTGCAGCATTCTTTTAAACAATTCCTTCTGTATTAGAGGGCATTTACAGTTTACAGTCTTTGTTTTCAGCTTGAGATTCTAGATATCAGAATAGATTGTTATCGATAAGGCACGCTGTAGATAACACCAAAGGTCTGATTCCACAACCAGGGGATCTGCTCAGTGGAAAACTAGGTCAAAGAAAAGTGCCTCTCTCCAAATAAAAATCCGGAGCACACCCTGAATTTTCTTTTTCTCCCTGCAAACATTAATAATTGGTAACAAAAGCCAATCCAAAATTTAGCTAAACTGCATTAAAGTGGTGTTGTGAACTGACCTTTCCAAACCTCAAACCAATAGGTAAGTCAGAGTTCATGTCATAATGGCAACCCAGACTCAGAGCACACCAGTAAAATGGTAGTGCCTTAGGACTTTTCACCTGACATGAGGCAGTATCTCCAACAAATATTTATTTTAGCAATATGGGACAGTACTTCCTGGTGTGTTGGGTCAGAACTGCTCAGTGACTTGGAAGTACCATCCTTGCATGATAAGAAAAGAACAGCTACAGGCTGAAACCAGCTGAGCCCTGGCCCAACTGGCTCAGCTGAGCACTGGTTCTCCTGGGGTTACCCTATTGAAGTTTACGCTGCTGTAAAGAATTCACGCAAAAGGAAGAAACAGTACTTGGAGCAATGCCACTGATTTTTCTTGAGTTACGCCAGGGAAATATTTGACTTGCAGAGACCAGTCAGTAACAGGAAGAGATGGCTTTGGGCTACAGATGAAGGGTTGACCGTGTACACGTGAGAAGCAGCCACACAGCAACGGCAGCCGGATCATGGTCAGACGAAGCTCTTACAGGCAAATTCTCCTGGAAGAGACACCTGCGTTTAACTTTGCCCATTCTGGTGGGGAGCTTGTGGCAACAAACTAAAGAAGGACACAAAGAATTTAGTTACAGTCCAGCTGGCTCTGTGCAAACAGCAGTGATGCTGCTGCATGCAGAGGCAGTCACTGAGCAAGAAGGGCCAGCTTGCCAGTGGGGTCGATCAAGCAGCCTTCAGGCTGATTTGTTTTTCTTCATTTTGGGCATGGCAGGTGGGGGGGGGGGGGGGGGGAAATGTTTGACCCATTGACTGTCTCTCAGGTGAAGAAGCTGAAAGTTCTCATTAAATAGACTTTACCTTGCTGGTAGCTAAGTAGGACTCTGCACCTGCAAACAGAGGACCAATGAGTTTTCTCTAACACCCACCATCAGAGCTCTAGATAATATTGCATAGGCCAGTTAGATGCTGGACTGAGTGAGTAAATGAAGTGCCAGGTGTAACTGGGAATGAAGAAGTAGCATGTGAAATTTCACATAATCAAAAGCATACTGGAGATGGAAATACACCTTTGCTTCTAGCATTTCACTTGCCTGAAAAGCAAAATACCTGCCGAAAATGAACAGGAAAGTATGTCTCTAAATCAGTGCCATCCTCAGCTTCTGTATAAAATCTCATCATCACTTAGACAGGCGAATAGAAATCTAAAGACACCTGGTTAGATTAAGTTGTGGTTTATTCCCTTCTCCCAGTTGAAAATAAGGCAGGGATGCAAAAGGTTCCTGATCGTGTTCTTGCTAAGTCATGTTGCTGAGAATGATTGATTCATGGGGTTGGTTTGCAAGTTGATTTGCATGAGTGTGTATATGACTACTTACAGAGTGTTTCCTATTCTGATGACAAAAGGACTCAAGAATGACCTCTTCCTCCTCAGGGAAAGGCAAAGAGGAAAGAAAGGAATACCCTTTTTTTGTTTTGCTGCTATTCTTTGCATTGTAATAGCATGCACACACTTGATTTGTATCAATAAAAACAGTTTTCTGGACTAAGGTGAAATTTATACATGAGCCTCAGAGTCAAGCAATTGTAACATGTGCCTTCCAAGGGAGTTGCATTGCACTGACAGTTAACCAAATTATTTGGAGATTCCTGTAATTTATAATCAAGCAAACTGGTTCAGACCAGTGCAAGGGCTGGGAATGGGAAAATTAGGTTCAAGTCGGTGATCCATATGGGACCCTTACTACTTCAGATATTTTATGATTCCATGATTCTATAATTCAAACTTCATCACAAACACCCGTTTGTCGGATTTTGTTGTCCATCCCTCCCAAAGATACCTGTGGTGCACCTATTTCCACTGTGATCATTAGATACACGCAGCCTCTCTTTTATTGTTTATAAGGAAACAGAATAAAAACAAAGGGTGAAATTCACCTCCTCTGACTTCAGCTGTCTAACCCAGCTACCCTGGCTCTCAGAACCTCCAGTGCTGAGAAACTGGTAACTTCCCAAGGGCTCTTACACAAGCGTTAGGCTGAGACAAATCATTCCAGAAAGGGGCTGGACTCCCATGCCTGTTCAAAGTTAAGGATTCCTACAATTTTAAGATCAGTAATACCATAATGAAACAGTACACATCAAAGTAACCTGACATCAGCTGAAATAATTTATTATGAAAAAGAAGCAAATTAAATATTTATTGGAGCTCAAGAGCTGCAACATTTTAAAATAGAAAGCTAAAGTTTAATGCATTTCATATCTGCTTGGTCAGTTCAAACGCATTCACTTCAAAACAATTCTAAAGACCCCTGCACAGCAGGCTGCAGGACACTGTCTAAGAAAGTCACAGTCTTCAAGTCTCTTTCAGGTCACAGAAGACCGAATTACTCAAGTAACAGAAGCATCTGCCTTTCTTGAGTACTCCGAAGGTATTGTAGAACATTTTGGTCACTGTCCACATAAGATACTGTCACCAGTGGCACTGGACATGCCAGCTGGGAGTCAATTATTTATAACACAAATCACAGTCATGTAACCATTACTGAGACTGAACTAACAGCCGAGAGTTTGATGCAGGCAAATAATAAAAAACCCCAGTGAGATAAGGACTCCCAATAAGAGTGCAAATATATTCGTTTTGTAGTGTGTACGTAAAAAACATGTTTTTACACTTCTGATATAGTGCTCACTGTGCTGAAGGAAAACAAAAAGCACCTTGATTTCCTCCAGTGAGCCAGTCACGGTCAAAGTAGGTTCAGGACCACCAGGGAGAACACAAATGTGGCCCTGAGCCAAGTCCTGCCTCTGTCTGAACCGCAGCTGTGGGAGTGATTGCTGTTTCCCTTCTAAGAGAAATAAAGTGATACATGTGGTTAGGGCTTTACAACGTGCACTTTCTTCAGGTAGGACTTTTGAAAGGCATCACTGTCTTGAGAGTGTCTTGCAATAACCTTGGTTTATAAACCAGTGTGGGATTAAAGACATTAGCCACCTTGCCCCATTAGCAGCATCACTGAAACAGGAGAACAAGTCCTCTTTGAAATGCAGTTTATTCTACAAACATTTAGAGTAAAATCTTAGCTAATTTGCGTAACCGCATATAATACTAGAAAGAAAAAGCGCTAGTATGGTCATTTGAAGGTTATTCACATCAGTTTTCTAAACTACTCACTTGCTAGGGAAGGAGTAAACTGGAGAGGAAATGTTTCCTTTAGTTATGCTCATGTTATCCTCTTTGGGCATTTTGTTTCCACACATCCACATTCATCTACATACACATATGTGAACTGGACTGTCTTATGCTTAGAGCAAATCAGTTCCACCTTCACTTTGTGACTTCTTTTTTCATGGCAGCAAGTGCATTTGTGTTCCATTTCATTGGTCTCCAAGGAATACCTATAGAAATGAGGTTTTTCACATCAGTATGCTGCCTGTTATCTTCCCAAACTGATCCATATTTGCTGCTCTAAACAGAAGCACTTCTAAGGAGCAGAGGAGCAAACCTTCCCATCTGTTTTTCTGCTTATTCATTACAGCCTTTCCTCAGGATGCTATTGGCCATGCAGGGCCAGATCCTCTGACACCAATGGGGAAAACCCCAGTAACTTCAGTGGATTTGGGAGTAGGCGCATTTTGGCAAGACAGAAAAGAACAACTCATGCACAGAACACAGGGCAGGAAAAAACTTCAGTAAACACCACAGCTGTTCAAAAGCCACACAATGACATATTTAAGAGCATGTTTAATAAATTTAGCTGATGTCTTTCCAGAGGGACCTGTTTTCCTAGCTAAGATAAGGCCCTCCTATCACACTGAAGACATTGCTAATGGCTGCTGTTCTGCACTCCCAGTTTCCCAACCAGGTCCTTTTAAAAAGCAGGAAGCTGCAGCCCACTGGTAACAAGAACCCAGAAAGACCAGCCATTGGGGAGGATACTCCTACTTACACAGAATAGGTACTGCACATCCCTTCACAAAAGGGCATTGGGACTGGAGCAGCTGATCTACAGTTGTCATGCACGATATACTGCTCTTTCACGTTGCGTTTGCATTTGTGCGGCAGGTCGATACCTGAGTAGAAGAACACTTCTGTTAGACCTTTTCAGACTGAGGAATAAATGTTTTGAAAGGCATCTGCTAGTAAACCAAGGGTAGATCATCCTAGTAAAACTTTTTACAGTTCAAATGCATAACTGAAACCACAGCTGAGAGTCCAAAGAGGCAGTAATTGAGCAAAACAATTTCCCGCTGGTCAAGGTACTTTTCCACTTGTGGACTATCTTTAATCATGCAAAGATACTGTTGAACCAAGACCTAAAGGAGACATGAAGGGTTCTGGTTTTACTAAAATTGCTATAAATTACATTCATGACTCTATTGCAACCTAAGATTTCTGAGTGGATGCTACAGAAAAAAAGACCTTCCTTTCTATGCAATTTTCCAATGGAATAACACAAAGAATATTTTCTACAAATTTTTGTATCAAGAGTATTTTTCAAGCTAACAGTATTTCAATTATTTAAAAACACAGAAAAGATGATAAAAAAAACCTTAATGTCCTCATTGAAAGAATGTGGCAGATTTTTAGTCTCAGCTGAGAGGTAAAAAACAGTTCTGTTGCTGTAAAACTGTCTTCCAGTCTGTGGAAACTTCGGACTCTCAGTGCATACAGAAACAGGACTACAAGCAGGAAGAACCAAACAGTATTGGAATAGAGAATCAGTGATTTAATGCACTCACATGTCTTACAACAGCCATCTGAAGTCACATCAACTGTCCCCTGTATTGAAAGTAACCAGAACAGTTAGTTCAGATGCAGGTATTGCTAAGGAGATAGTAGCAATTATGAGAGTTCCATTATATTCCCTTATCTCTAATCAATGCAGATTCCTCATCAGATCTATTTGTGTATCAATTATATATAAAACTGCTTAAAAAAACTAAACCAAACCAAAACAAACCATCCAGTAAGGAAGGGAATTAACTTTCTTAAAACTATACACCCTCCTACAAGCCAGGTTAGATGTCCTGGCCTGACCTCATGCAGGTCTTATTGAAGCCAGCTTAAGAACCCCAGCCGCAGAGAATGACAGCTGCTCCTGGAGTTGAACAGCCTGGCCTACGCAGAGCCTGTGCCAAAGCTAACTCAAGTACACGGCTGTTCTTGTCCCTGCTTTGATTTTCAGATCTGCTGTGAAGTCCCAAAATGCTTCTGAAAGTTACTGGAAACCACTAATAGATGAAAACCAGGGTGTGAATGATACCCCTTCCTCATTCATGTACCACTTCTTTGCTTAATGATACACCACATATCAGAAGGCACTGTGTTCATCGGACCCCAAGGATCTATGGTGAGTTACCATTTGTTCAATTGCATTTTGTAACACTGATGTTTCTCAAGTGATGAAAAACCCCACCTTGCTATTGCCCCAAAACCCTTCTCTTTCAAGTTCCAGTTCTTATCCCACAGCAATGTGAACTGTGCGGGTTTGTTTGCTTTACTGCCATGGCACACTTTATTTAGGCTGAAAAAGCACATTTCCTTCAAACAAGGATGACCAGCTCAGAAAGATCAAGAAATACTGAAGTGACTCATTCAAAACAGTAAAGATAACTCCCAGGCCAGCAGCATTATGGCTCACTCCTGAAGTCTTTCTCTGGCTGTAAGATACTTACTGGCACACAGTTTGCTTCTTCAAATGGTAGGCAGACTTTTATCGTACTAGTCAAGGAAAACTGGCCCGCTGCTTCAGTGCATGTGTACTGAGTACAGTTATCATATGGATCTTTATAACTCTTTCCAACCTGATAAAAACAGGAAAAAAACCCCCAAGCCAATATAGTATAGGAATAAAAATAGAATACTGCAACAGTAATACAATCAATGAACTGGTAGAGGGACTGGGTTGTTCATATTACTCTGAAAGGGCTGAGATGTCTGCAACTCACATCTTCAAAGCTCACCCATCACTAGCCTATGCAAAATCCCTTCTGAGGCCAGCCAGCAGGAAAGAATGAGAAGCTGGTAGCAGAATGAGCATAGAAGTATGAGCAGAAATGCCAGAAGATAGGTGTATTAATGTCTGTGGGCTAAAATATACACAAAAAAAATAACTCTTTTAAAAGGTTTGAACAGTTTTCATTTTTAGTAGATGGAAGAATACAAAAAAGTGTGAAAAAGGACAAAAGTCTTTGCAATAGAGGTTAATGGGTAACAGCAAAGCCTCCTCGTGGAAAAAAAAAATGGTATATTGGAACAGGAGAATCTAGCTTGCAAGATTAATTATCAAACAATAAAAGGATGAAATAGAAAATATGCAGGAGAGCTACCAGAGAAGCAATAGCATACAAGACAATAGTCACTGGTTGAAACAACATCATTAACCATTCACAGGAGTAGCAGACTGTAATAACACCAAAGAGCTAGAATCATGGAATCATAGAATCATTAAGGGTGGAAAAGACCTCCAGGATCATCAATTCCATTCTTTAAAGGCTTGGTTCATTGACTACACAACTCCACACTCACAAGACATGGTGTATTACCTCAGGGTGTTACCAAGTCACTACACTGCAGTAGCTATTAATTTCTGCCTCAGCAAATTCAGAACTAGTGGTAGTACAGCCATGTGAGCTTGCTCACACTATTTACCCCTGTATGTTCAGGGAAAGAAAATGAAACTGTTTCCAGACTGGAGCGGTATCATGTGAAGCCTGCTCATGTATCTCTGCAAGAGCACTATTACACAATGTCATCGTTCCTTCCAAATTCTTTCTTGCTATTCCATGTCAGGATAAAGGGCGGGGGGGAGACATGATTTCCATTCCTACCCAAGATACATAATTTTCAACACACTAGTGCCTGTGAGATGCACACAGCAGAGACGAGCTGTATAAACATCTACCTTTACTTTGGAAACACAGATATTTTTACATCTCCTAGAGATCCTCCCAGCCTTAAAATGCATTACACTGGGAAAAAAAATGCGGAGGTCTTTTTGGTAAATCAATCTTGTGTGCAAAGCAAGGGAGTGCTTACCTCAATGGTCACATTGCCAAATGGAAAATTTGCCACACATGCCACTTGCTGGCACTGGCTGCAGCACTGACCCTGCTCTTCCACATAGCGAAAGCCCTGTGGAAATAAAGTTTCCATTTATCCATGTTAACTGATGTTAAATTCATGAAGCATCTTTGGATCAAAACTACACTGAAGACGGCAGAAGAAATGAGCCAATCTCCTGGTTTCATCTTTGTTGTCTTTAGAAAACTGCTGGAACCACTTTAAGCCTGACAAGCAAAGCCGGTAATTTTTCTCCCTTATTGAACAGTGACTACTGGACACTTCAGTTGCCATGAAGACTCTGTCATTGGCTATTCTTCTTCAGGCTAACACACAAAACAGGCCAGATATATTAATTCAGCATATAATTACTTAAATATTAATTCAGCACATGATTACTCTGCCACCAGTGCTTGGTCTGATATCATTATCCACAAGAACTATTGCTGTCAGACATGTTAAGATTCCCTCCCCTGTGTTTTAGGTATCTATTGGTCTCTCAGTGGGTGTGGGTGTGGCTGGCTTCAGGGTAAAAGACAATGAAAGGTTTTGTCCATTTTTAATGCTAGTGGGTCTGGCCTTATCTGGGCGTGAATGGAAAAGCAACCACTCTGTTTATATTCAGTAATAGACTGAACTGGTTTTGTGCTGATTCTCACAAATACTGAGAAGTAGCAGAGTACTCTCAGCTCACAAGTACTGAGAGCTGTCTGGAAAAATACAGACCACTGCACAGTTTCTTCACAACCTTAATTTTTTATCTGACAATGGTCAATGCCAACAGAATGGCACAAACATCTTTCAGCACTCAAATTTTAATAGGTTTGAAATCATTTTCCCTTAGAGCATCTTTCCAAGGGTGACCTCTTAAATTTGCTAAAGTAAAAATAATTTGGCACCCTAAAAAGGACTTTACAAAAAAAATAACAGAAGAGTCTATCCTGCTATCTTGCAGTGAGAAAGCAGTTACACTATCCCGGTTTCAGAGTATATTCTTTCTACAGCCATTGTTCCTGGTCAAGGAGGTGCTGACCTGCTGGCAGGTGGTTTGGCATTTCACTGGAAGACACCGGATGAGGTTGGTCTGTGTCACGAGATCCTGCTCATCTGTACACACACAGTTCTCACAAGAGCTTTTAGGCACCATTGCTCCTGGCTGGAAACACAGGGGGAGAGAGAAGGCAGGCCATGACAAGAATTCAGAGGGTTCTAGAATAAACATCCCCCTTGACTATCAAAAAATTAATGCTTATGAGGTTTACTTTTGGAAGAACTTCCTGAAATGAATACTTCCAGATCTCTAAAACCTCACAATCGGTATCACAAAACGAACACAAGGCTGACACTCCCAAGTGCATCAATGATGTCAAATGAGTTATTTCATAAATTCCATGCATCTACTTTTGCTCAGTTTGACATAGAAATTAATCTTGCAACACTAAGTGAAGTTTAAAATTTGTATTCAATCATAATTCTGACCTATTGACTCTAAAACATAGGTAAGATCTCATCTAGAAAGCAGTTACTGGTCTTTAACATTACCTATTCAGTAACCTATCACAGAATCACAGATTGCTTGGGGTTTGAAGGGACCTCTGCAGGTTATCTAGTCCAATGCCCATTTCCAGTAGTGCATAAGACTATTGGCAGGGAAAAATTACCAGCCATTCTAATCCTGCTTTTTGTATAAGTATTGGCAATAGCAACTTCAGAAAATTCTGACTCGGGCAGCATTAACTTGTGGAAAGAAGTGTCTGGAAGAAGACCTACCTTAAATTCAACTCCTTCAGAAACACATACACCTTTTGGTACTGTAAAAAAAACCAAAATGAAAAGGATGTGCTAGGAATGATGCAAATAGTTAATGTAGTCATCTCTGAATTGTGAGTGATCCAGAGAAGTCAAAGAGTAGAACTGAACTTAATAGCCCACACAAACAGGGGAAAAAAGTAACTAGTACATGGTGCTTATTGTTATTCAGAAGCCCACATATTATTCAGAAGTCCACATCTGCTTAGATGTTATGCAGGAAGTGGGAGGTAATTCTATATCCTGGAATTTTCCATAAGGTAAAATCTATTTACCTCATGGTTTTTTTACCCACACTTGAAATTACTTGACCTTTTCTTCATTGTTAACCACCTTACTGCTAACAAAGCCAGAGGGAAGCTGGCTCATGTATGTGCATCTAGAAATGTAACTTGGCAGCAGAGCTTCTGGATGGGTTCAATTTAACCATCATTCATAATCTGATCAATAGCTTACACTCACTGAATACTGGCTACAGAGAACCTACACCAGTTACTTCAACTCCAAAAGAAAAAGGAAAAAAAAAAAAGCACCACTTGTAGAGGCTGATAGAGAAGGGAAGAGGCTATCACTTATGATTTTAACTCATTCAGCAAAAAATTAAATAATTCAAGGAATAAAAAAACACCTTCAAGAAACAAGGTACTTACTACAGGAGAAGATAGGACAACAACCATCCTCAGATATAGCAACCACTGGTTGGAAACCTAAGTCACATCCTGTTTTGTTGATAATGCAGGTTTTTATATCACATTCTGCAATAGATAACAGAGATAAACTAAGCCAAAGCATCCCATCCAGCAGTTACTTGCAGACAAAGCTTGAACATCCAAGAAATTGTGTAGAAATAGATGATTATTGCATCACACATTTTCGGAGTTTGGGACATGTTCAGGTGAAGTATCTCTAAGTTTGCTCCATTGTAAAGCTCTTCCTTGGACATATATTTATGGCCCTTGTTCCTGCTTCTCTTCCACCACTGGATGTCACCTCTAAAAAAACTAAACACTCTTAGACAAGTGACAGGGAAACAAGTTGGAGTAAAGATAAATGAGGCAGAGAGGGAAAAAATGAAGAGGCAGTGGATGAGAGCCAGAAATGCAACGGTTGGGAGGGACATGCAAGGTAAAGGACCTCGACAATGTCCACTGCTCCCTTAAGGCATCCAAGGAGCCTAATGGACCTCTCCCTGGTAGATTGAAGGGATGAGGAACAGAAAAAAATATCCCACCACCATTGTCAGGATCCCCTGTCCTACATCTTGCTATAGGTGCTGGGAATGGCCAGCGTTAGGAGCAGGCTAGTCTTGTGCTGTGGTGGCATTTGAGACTGGGAGGATGCAAATGCAAAGGTGAGGGCAAACATATATCAGGAACATCCACAGGAAGCCTTAGGGAAGCCTGGAAGATAAACCTATCTTCCCTTACTGGAGGGGTCTCTGTGAAAGGATTACCCTCTCATCTCAGAAGGACAAGAGCCAGAGGATCCTGTGAAGCACCTGGTAGTCCAAATGATCTATGGGGAATATTCCACTGTAAGTATCTGTCAGGTCATGGTACTAATTTAGAATACAAGTTGGACCAGAGGAGTTCTGTTCTGATAGCAAGAGCTCCTGGCATGTAGATAGAAGAAAAGATGACTTCAGTGTTTATTTGAATCTGGTATCCTTGGGATACTGGATCTCACTGGAGGATTACTGCTGAAGGCATGATGCCACATATGACATGTGAACTATCTACTCACCACAGACAGTCTCTGGGCAGCATGGGTCATCCAGACGTGGTTTTGTTTTGCGTACAAAGCCCTCTTTTGTGCAATTGATGGGTGGAGATTTAGCACAAGGGCGGGGGAAGCAAGAGATATTCAAGGTCGCTTCATCACAAGTACAGTATTGACAGTCATGCTCCCAAGCCTCTCTAGGCTATGAAAACAATAAGGATAGCAGTTCAGAGAGCAAAAACTGGAAATATTATATCAATGAATGCCTGCTGCAAGACAGTGCAGGGCTGAGTTCAAATCCCAGAGGGATGCAAAGGGAACAGTAAGAAAAAATCCTATTATTTGCCACCTTCCTCTGCTGGTTTACGTGTTTGCAGAAGGCAAGCCTGGTAGTTCTACCAAGAAACCGATTCCCACAAACTGCTATTTCTGCTTCTATGCCTCAAATGATTAACTGCACTTCTGCAGTTAATAAAATCTGCTGTTTTCCTTCCCAGTGTCTTTGCAGTTCACTGGTTTTTAAGCTTAGAATTAGAAGAAACAACTCATGCAGCCATTTTTACAGGAGGTCACAGAACCCAGATATAGTATAAAGACAGTATTTTCCTTTCTCTTACCTGTTTCACTGACCCATCTTGTGCAGTGCAGCCTGTAAAATGAATTACATGTTACTTTACTGACAACTGAATCAGGGAAAACAAGAGAAGCAGGAAGACAGGAATAGAAGGAAAGTCTTCAAATCTGAGAAACAACCACAAAGAGAAAGAGGAATCCAGAGTTCAAAGTCACAGGTTGTATACCCAAAAAAATCTTCCCCAAAAAACATTCTCCCCTTTGTTCTTTCGAAAGTTGCACCTTCTGCATAAGAACAGGCAGAAACTGTCAATCTGAAATGCTTCCAGCCTAACTAGAAAGAGTCAGTATCAAGGTCTCCCCCCCCCCGATTCCTCTGTGCCCAAAATATCCCCCTTAATGTGCACTTCTAGTGACAATCTTACCCACCCCCCTTTCCCCCTTCCCATCACACCATTTAAATTATTTCTTACCACAAACAGAAGCGCAAATGCCATCATGATCATTCAGCAGAGTTTTCCCATCAGGACAGTAGCATCCCTCAATAAACACTAATGTGTTATTTTGGGAGGGGAGGGTGTCCATAACTTCTCTGCACAATTAGAACATAAACAGGAATGAATGTGAGGCAGAAATGTAGCCCAGGGCAATCAGACACCTAAATCCCTTGGGAATGTGAACTTCAAATTTCCCTGTCAATTTTCACATCATGGACTTGAAAAATGCCTTAGGAAATGACCCACCTGCTGAAGCAAGTTTTTCTTCTTGCTTCACCACATGGCTTGTACACCTGATCCCGAGGACAGATGGCCTCTGTGGAGCATTGCAACACACAAGTTAAGCAGCCCAGACCCACGTGTACCCTTCAAGGCACAGTGGGCAAAGCACCCACGCTATCACAGCCCACCTCGTGGGTCCGCACAGCCCAGGCTCCTGCCCAGAAAGGGGGTCCCTGCAGCTTCACCAAGACGGGCCAAAGGATTCAGCAAGGTCTAGCGACAGTACTAGCAGAGCTCACCCCGGAATCGCTGGGTCCCCCTGAGCAGGGCGGAGCACGCAGAGAGAAGCGGCGTGTTGCCATCTAGCGCCGAAGCTTTAGGAAGCACATCGGGGTCAGCTGAGCTACTCGGGAGACAACACGGGCCTGCTTCCCCCTTGTTTTGCATCAGTTCTGGGCTGGAACAACCTTTTTATTTGTTCCTGCTTTTTCCCAGGTCAAGAGCAGCTCAGAAAAGATTGAAGCCTGATGATGTGGAGGACCATAAGCAAGCATGTAGGTGAGAACAGACCAGACCTGCTTCACCACTAGCAGTGTTTCCCAGACTTACCACACTGGCCATTCGCCTGCCTCCTCCAGTCCACGCAGACCCCGTGGAGCCCGCACAAGGCTGCGTACGTCTGCATGCTCTGGCACTCGGTGCTGGGGTGCTCTTCTGAGCACCCACTGGCCACACACGCCTCATAGTAGGGCTGTGGGGGGACCACGCCGTGGCACTCAGTCAGGGTCCTTCACAAAGGAGACAGACCTTGGGTGACTTTCAAGGAAGAATTCAAGAAGCAAACCATCCACACCCAGGCAAAGCCTCAAGGTAAAGATACAACTACAAATTGCTCTTGTAGGCAATGTACCCACACAGCTTAAATAAGAATGAGCTTTACTTCCCATTCTTTATAATGCTTTGAAAGGAAGCAATTTTATGTTAGGCTGAGACCTGCAAAGGCTCCTGCACAGCTCATAGCTATAAATCTATATGCTGACATTTTTATATTAGCATGTTTATAAATTCTGGTTTAAAGCACAAAAATATTTTAAAAATAGACACACACGCTTACTATATTTTGCTTCTGTATCTTTCAGAGCTTTCAGATACTGAATCATAGCTAGCTCTCCAGAACTGACAGGCAGAGGGAGTGCCAAGTGGAAGACACTATTAAGGCAGGACTGATTTTGATGATGTAGCTGAAAAATATCTGCCAGACTCAGTAACACTCACGCATCAGTTCACTGCTCAGTTTCACAAGGTATGCGAGACTTCATATTTTCATCATATCCTGTAATCAGTTCACCCAAGCCATGTAGTACAACACTAAATTATCTTGTGGACTTATTCTTCTGATACTTTTGGGAGTTGTCTTACCAGATGATTTTACACAGATTAGAAGGCTCACAGTGCTGTTGATATTCACTCTTAGCTGGTTCTGAGACACCTGGATTGCAGTATCTGTTGGTAGGATATGGTACTTTCCAATCCAATGCCATGTCTTTGAAGGACTCAATAACCTCACCATTCCTCTTCAGAGCATCATCAGGCTTCTGGTTGGTGCAAGTACCTGGTAGCAATATAAAAGCAAAGTGACAATTCAAGCTCAGTTGATGCCGATGAAGCTGTTTTTAGAGAACATTTGGAAGGAAGTTCATGTCTTTGTGGGAAGGTAACAACATGTGGGGTCCTGGATAAGTTCACAAAAACTTTTTGTAGGAAGAGAAGGCTAGAAGAAATAGTTTGACAATTTCTCATGAAAACCAGAATTGACATGTTGGTTGATACATTTCTCTGCGTGGCTAAATCAGCTGAGATGGCTCTATCTAGGATAGGACTGTCCAGACTTTTTTACATTCCCATATAAAGTATATATGTTCAAGAGGAAGGGCTTAGAAAAAGTCTGCCTCCATCCACCAACAGACTGCAAACAGAATGAAACGATGTGACTTAAAACTCTATCTCCTGACAGTGTCTTTCCACTAAATAGTGATAAATTTATTACAATTTGTGAAAAATAGAAATCAATGGAGTTGCAAGAATTTAGAGATGTTTACAAGGGGATGAGTGAAAGAAGAAGGAAAATTTATTGCATTCATTATTGTCAGCTGATGAGAACACTCACCACATAGTCCCATGGTATTATTATAAAACTTTCCAAAAGGGAGTTTTATGTAAAATGCAAGTTGACTGTAGGACACATAAACCTCTAATTCAGGTATTTCAATTATGGCATAAAGTCCAGAACTTGTTATCCTGATACCGTTCTTGGAAATGTCTGGAACAACTTTTTTATTGTTAAACAAAATCTGAAAAGAAGAGAAACAAAAGGTCTCCATGAACTCTCTCCTGTTAAGTAAGTTAAATGATCTGTGCAACTTGAAAGCTGAGCAGTACAAATTCGAACCTTATGTGCACCAAATTAAGTCTTTCAAAGACAGTTATCTAAGCAGTTTCTAAGATTATTTTTAACATGTCATAATTTATATTTGAGTGCTCATATCAAGATAAAACCCACAATTTTCAATTACGTTATCTTTTCCTGGATTTTTAGAATATAAAAGTTTTTTTTGAGACAAAGCAAAAAAGAGAGAAAACAATGCAATTACATTTCCTACCCATTCCATATTTTACAAGCTTCATCCTTTGTTGTGGCAAGATGTTTGGCAGTACAGTAAACTACAGTAACTATGGCAAAATAATATTGAAAATTCATTTTAATACAATACTTTACCAAATTTGTTTTTTTTCCATGTTCCATTGCTTGTGTCAGAATAACAGTAGAGTTGGAGTAAAAAATGATAAGGGACATTGAACAAATTGCTCCATCAATGGCACCACAGTAGTAGTTGTCTATGTGAATCCAGAAATTGTGAGAGTCAGGATGAATTGACTTCACAAGGACATAGGTGCAGTTTTCTTTAAAATGATAATATGTCCCATCAAAAGTCACATAATGTTCGTTTCCCCATCCACTGCAAATACCTGGAAGACAGAGCGACAGTCTTGAAGTTTGGCTTATAAGCTTCCTGCAAGTACAAGCTGGTTTTAACTCTTTTACTTGCATCCAGTGAGAGCCTAAATAACCAGTTTCATAAAGAAAAACTAGCCTAACAGGGACACTCCTATCCACTTGTAATGGCCAATGTTTTAGATGGCATTTCTGTTCCATTTTATCCTACTGAAATAATATGAATGTAATATAGATGTTGACCACATAGACTTATCCTTCTTGGATTCATAACATAAATTTCAGGCATTTTTCTGCCACTTACACTGACACTCGAAGACTTCACAGCAACCGGTTTCATCGTAGTGTTTTGTGAACGGGAAACCATTGACACAGAGTTTCAGTTGCTGAGGAGGGCAAGTCATGCTGGACAGTTTGATATTGTTTCCTTCTCCCAGGCAAGTGGCAGTCTGGCAGCGTCCAAAATTCCATGTTTCATTAAACTATTGATGGATTGGGAAAAAAAAAGAGGAGAGGCATATAAAAACATAATGTAATAAAATCTTTAAAATCATGCAATAAAATCTTTAAAATCATGCATGGCGACTGTGTTCTATTCAGTTAATCATCTAGCACGGCAAGAGTTGGCGTCTACTCTGTGTCTGGAAACCAAGCAATACGAAACATATAGCAATCAACAGAGCCTTAATATCTACTTTTTGTATAGGACTAAATATTAAGGTCCTGACCACTTTTGATCATGGGATATGGCCAGATGTGATTTCCTAGTCTTTGTTCAATTTGGGAAGCTCTGCCCACATGCAATCATTTCGATGTTTCAGGTGAACAGAAAAATCTTCAACTTATTCTCGCAGTGGAGGTTTCTGATATAAGTCTAAATCATCTAATTCAGCCACATCTATAGTACAGCTGTAGTGGTGGATACCAGCATCAGAGGAGAACACCAGATCTTGGCTGCAGACAACGCATGAATGATGAAACACCTGGACTTCTTCCAAGTCTCTCACCTTTCTGGGAGGAATGAGTGTGAGACAATCGCTCACAGGAGCCCTTGTGGAAGCAGGAACTTGGTTTGTTGCACTGGGAGTAGATATTGGTGGACAGGTTTCAGAATCTGGATCACAGCTCTTGATGGTCTCAGTATGACCAGGTTTACACTCTGCCCAAATTAATTCAATCTGACACAATTTATTGCAGACAGAATAAGCACAACGATCCGATATATTCACTGGCAGAGAAACATTTTCTCCTGCAAGGCCAAAACCCAACTGTTAGCACCAGACTGTACATGAAATTTCTAACTTCCAAGGCCTATGCATCACAGATCAGCTACGTACTCAGCCCTGGATTTAACTATCTGGGTCTGCCTGTATCCAGCAGCCACATTTAGATGTGACTGTCTGTCTGCAGCACCTTGAAATTAATGACTAAACAGGAGCTCAATTCATCCAAATGGCAAAGGCTGAGGGAGGGCCACAAGTGGCTTATCTGAAATTCTGCTCTTAAGTACATTAGCAGGAGTTGAAAATGAGTACAAGAGGAGAGAATACTCAGTACATCACTGAGTGCATCTGGGGTCTTCACAAACACAAAACAGGAGGTAAGTGGATCAGGAGCTACTAATAGAAGAAGAACAGTCTTTCCTCCCCTGTTTTTGGAATATTACTGTGAGTTACAAGCTTGTGTTCAGCAGTTTGGGATTCAGGTCTCTGCTGACATTAGCATCTGCTATAAGTTTCCTTACACTAGAGATATTCAAACCAGAACAAAGTTACTGAATGTGAGAGAGTTGTACTTCTGAAGCTGTTAGTTACAGTTTAAAGACACAACAACTTCCTGTGTCTGACTGCAACAGGCAGAATGAGCCCTTGCTGAAGCATCTTTATCTAATAGTACATCTTTCCACATCAATGGTGCAGAACAAAAATTTGCATAGTTTCTCACCCATTTGTATCAATTGCCCATTGTCATTGCAGAAGCAGGGAGTGGCTACCACTGTCGATGGAGGTGCAGATGTTACAGTCTGCGTATGTAGTTCTGCAGGAAATGAAATCAATTAATATTCAAATGCTCTGCTACTCTACTTTCAAGCTCTAAGACATCTATTGCATTCTTTACAACCACCAAAAAAAAAAAAGGAAAATATAATCTTTTTTTTACCCCCACTACACTCTATACATGTACACACTAAAACCATCCTCTCTGTATTTATATACATTCTCTCTATTACACAGTATGGTGCTATAATACAAACACACTTCCACTTGTAGGGAGTTTTATATATACATACATAAAATACAATAAATCCCCCTTCTACTCTCACTAAATCATTCCAGTTTTCTAATCCTGCAGTACTTCACCTGACTTTGGAGAGGTGATTTCCAGTGGCACTCCATTTGACTTTTGTGGCAAAGAAACTGTTGGTTTAAATACAGACAGATCATATAGACATTTTACTATGCCACCTACACTCTGCTTTCAATAGTTCTTTCCTACCTACTACTTCATTATACTTCTTATTTCGCTTGTTATCACTTAGCAAATACCAAACACACAGGGTCACTATCAAGTCTTTAGTTCTTCGACTCATGTGAGTACAGATGCTGACTTTTAATATTCCTTGTAGTCTTTGTATAACTTGCTACCAGGATAAAACACATTTTTTTGGCCACTTATTTTATTTGCCATAATCATGTGACAAAATTCCCACTTTTCTTTCTCTCTTTTTACTTCCTACTTTCTGCTCTTTCACCTTCTCTTCACTCTGCAACTTATCTTTTGGAAAGGGAGATAACTACCAGGCAGCTTTATTTTCATGTTCCAGTTACCCATTTGAGACTCACTTATTTCAATGCAGAAAACAGTACAATAAGAACCATGCTGTGATATAGGTGATAAGAAAGAGAAAAACAAGGTTTGAAAGTATGAAATATTGAGACTAACCCCACCAGTGTCAACTATGATATGCCGAAAATTGTTGTAAAATCTGTACTGAAAAATGGCCAAATCTCTCTATTCTCTCTTTACCTCACTGACAGTAAGGTCAGTAAGAATCTATAAAAATTACACTTTTGGTCCTCAGTACAAGATCCACAAGCTCTGATCCCTCATTTTTGAAACTTCAATAGTCTTAAATTCTTTGCTTGTCCTAGACACCCAGTAGGAGTCTTTGTCCAAGATGAATAGATCTTACTACCATTACAGATTTCCACAGAATCAGAACCAAACCTCTTACAGATATAGTACCTTGTGCTGGTGTAGATGGTGTTCTGCATGTGGTAAGTGTTTTAATGATCTCTCCATTAGGGCCACAGACAGCTTCACCACACTCAGTCCCATACACATGGCTGTACACAGTTTCATTTAAGGTGTAGGTCTTTCCATTGTAACAGCAAAGGCAAACTGAGGCACCAAAAGAGCAAATACCACAGTAACAGAGGACACTTGCAATATAAATACAAATGAAAAGAAAACCAAACTCTGCATTTATAGTTTTGAAATTCACAATATCAAACATGAATTATCTGGCTGAAAAATTTTCTCAGTTTCTACTTAAGAAGCTGCACTGGTAATCTGTCTCGTTTATTTTAAAGTGGATTGCATTTTTCTGGTTGCTGATGTTTCTTGGAGTCAGCTTGCATAGAGTGATAACTGATTGGTAAAAGCATCAGAACTGGTATTACCCTAACCCCACAGGGAACACAGGTGAATTCCCTCTTGGCAGGGAACATGAGTGGGATTACTGCCTTGCTGAGTGATAAAACACTGGCTCAGAAGGTGTTGCACAGCTATTTCCACCCACTAATGAGAAGCATGCAGTGATAAACAATTTCATTTAAATATATAAGAAGCTATCCAGATTTTGGAGAATGTACATTCAGGAACCAAAGGAAATATATCTATTACTGCAAAACTGAAAATGTGTTGTTTGCTGGGTCACCTTGCAACCACATTTTGGGATGTGATTTCTCCCAGATATGGGAATGAACTGATACCATACTTAAAGTGTGTCCTTTTGGCACACAAATATATCTGTCATAAGCTAGCTGTCTCATCTTATTTTATGAAATTAATGGACAGGACTTTACAATATTTGCCCTGTTCTAAAAGTATTCATTAAAACAGGTACCATGAATGGCCTGCTACAGACTAGTGTCTGTTTTCACTGACTACCAAGGAGGTGTAAAAGTGGAAAAAGTGGTATTTACCTGGATAGAATGAATCCCACATGTCATACCTCTCTCCTTCCTCTCTATGACTATCTTTTAGACAGTACTTGAGGTCAAAGGCTGGATTTTCCTTATCAAGTATATCTGTATTGCTGTGTATCCACCTATTAAACTACCTATCTGGATTCCTATTACCAGTATGTTTGAAGTAATATATGATATTGGGTTGTTTCAGTCCTATCATCACTCAGTGCATGGTGAAGGTGGTGAAAAGTTACCTTTGGAGTCTTCAGTACATAGTTTCTCTACAGGATCACTGAAGATAAAGAGAAAAGAAGACTTGTTTTATTGACTTGAATCAGTATATGGTATAGCAATGTCTGCAACGGTATCTACTTTTACATAAAATCTGCTCCTGGAAGATTTAGTAATTATTGCTACCACCTATGATCAGTAACAAAACATTGCCTAGCTTGTCCTTTCCAGTCCTATTCCACCTTTCTCTCCATCAACTGACCTACCATGAAGTGCAGTTGGGGAGGGAGACACACTCCCTGCTCTCCTCATCAAAATATGGCTTGTCAGGACTACATTCTGGGTAACAGCCTGGAAAGTTAAAGTAAGCAAACCATTTTTAGTCTTCATTACATAAATACAGGAAAAAACATAAATACCTCTATCAGATGGAGATTTTATTCCAAAATGAACGTGATTCCAGTATGAATGTTCTTTTTACTATGTTATCTTTCCATTCCTCTTTTTTTCCTCTCTCCCAAAAGTTTTAATTAACTCTGTCAACAGATAATTGTTCTTTGCAAATTTATATTGAATGGCTTTTTATTTCTCCCCATATTTAAAGGCAACAGGCAAATTATGCTATGAATGGTACCATCACATGGAGAATTAGCCGAGATAAGGCATGGTCAATGAGCTTCTGGGGCAAATGGGATAACCTTTCAGTCACCCAATGCTTAAGACATTAAAAGCAGACTAGTAGCTCTTAAAAACTGCATTAAAGGAAAAATTACCTTCTAGACTATACAGCAAGTTCCCACATTTCCCTTGTGGGTTCCTGCAGGTCCTTAGACAAGGGGCTCCACAGGGTTTATAGAACCATTCATGTTTGTCAGGTGGATTGTAATAATCACAGAATACAGCTGGAACAGAAGAATAAAACACCTGTAGGTCTCAGACACTGGGCAGGGATTATTTTTAAATCTTGTTTAAAAGATTTAAATAAGAGAAAAAAGGCTTGTTAATCACACATGCATTGCAGTGTCAATGTTCTGTCTCTTTATCTCCCATGTGCCTGAGCACATGGAGCACTGCTTTTCTATGTGCATTTTCAGGGCAATACTTACGGCAAATGGCAGGTGTTCTCCAGCTGATACAGATGCCAGCTCTGCTACAGCTTCTTGAATAAGCAGCAACTGAGGTACAGAAGCACTCACAGTCTCCCACACTGTCACAGCCACAGAAGTCAGAAACACAAGATTCATAATACGGTATTGGGTTCACCTATCAAAATAGCAACAGATCTGTCACCACAGGTGTATTGGGTGCACTCTGTTTTAATGAGGGAAAAGGTTCTGAATTTCTATCATGCACTGGAAGTTTGTGACAGGCGGGATTGTCATGAAGGAGCTATGATATTTTACAACAGGTAGTTTTCTATTTTCACCTGCCTAGTAGAATTGGATTCTAATTCTTCTCATTCTCGTGTGTGTAATACTGTCACTTATCCTCAAAATGTCTTTCCAGTGTGATTTCTCCAAGACTGAACTATCTTGCTTCAGCTTAGCACAACCATATAGTGTGCATTCTCTAACTGAGAGACAGTGATTGAGTATAAAAAGAAATTCTGTTTCCACTGAACTTCATGTCTCTTGTGTTTTAACCTGTGTTAACATGAACTAACCAAGGAAATTAAATGAAGTTTGTTTTTAAAATGGCTTATTAAAGTGCATTGAAGCTTTGTATACACATTTTAATTAATAATTAGTACCCTTGTTTCTGTTTAAATTAATTCAATTTGTCTGAAATAAATCAAATAATGAATCTCTTTAGATAATTTGAATGAAATTGCTCAAGTACAGTATGCAGTTTTGGGCACCACAATGTAAAAAAGACATTAAACTATTAGAGAGCATCAAAAGGAGGGCCACGAGGATGGTGAAAGGCCTGGAGGGAAAGCCTTATGAGGAGCTCCTGAGGTCCCTTGGTTTGTTCAGACTGAAGAAGAGACTGAGGGGAGACCTCACTGCACTTTTCAACTTCCTTGTGAGGGGAAGTGGAGGGGCAGGTACGGATCTCTTCATTCCCGTGTCAGTGACAGGACTTGAAGAAGCAACATGAAGCCCTGGAAAAGGCTCCTCAGAAGGGTGGTCACAGCACTAAGCACCAAGTTCAAGAAGCATTTGAACAACGCACTCAGGCACATGGTGTGCTTCTTGGGGTGTCCTGGGCAGGGCCAGAAGTTGGACTTGATGATCCTGAGGGATCCCTTCCAACTCAGCATATTTTATGGTTCTGTAAGGATCACCACACAAACAGACTTACACTGACTTATCTCTGGGTTTTACGAACAGCTACCTAACTTTTTAATTCTGCTGGCCCAGTATTATCCTCTTTATCTTCAGTTACTCAAAACAGGTACTGCTGTTTCCTCAATACTGTGCTACAGGATTTAACGGGCATAGCTGTAAAGTGAGGTTCTGAGTGAGGTAGCCCTTGTACTTGAGGATTCTGTGTAGTAGCCCATTATAGTAAAAATATTCATGCAAATGTACTGCCAAATAGCAACAAATACCTAGTGGGAAACTACTGAGGATGACAGAACAGGATTACCTTACTGTGGCAGGCTTCAAAGATATTACTCTTAATGATGCTGCAGTGCTTCTGTCCCAAGGCAGACTTGAAAGGTTGATCAGCACACAGGTCCGTCATGTTTATATTTGAGCAGGTGCTTGTTATTTTCCAGCTGTTTCCAAATTCCTGTATGCTCATCTCCATGGACTGCCCTCTGGTTGTGAAATCATTCCTTGAGCGGCCATCAAAGTCCCCACAAAGACCACAGACTTTTCCCTGGGAAGTTTGTGTAGGCACAGTAAATGGCTTGGTTATTTTGAGTGCAGCCCACTCTTTGACAGAAATAAACTATAGAACAGGTCAAGGCAAAATAGCTGCAAGTTGCTAAACAGACATCAAAAACAGCTTAGAAAAAGCTGGACTTAAGTGACAAGAACACTCTGTTAGTGTGTTGCAAATACTGCAAAGTGTCTGGCTTTACTTTTACCTCCAAATATTTTTGAGTGTTTCATACTGACTGAACAATGAAATAAAACATAAATTACGACCTGCTTGCTGCTTCTTCTTGAACACTAAACCAAACTCTTTTCTGAACACTGCTTTTCAAACGTAACTCTCAGTCCATCCCATACCTACCTGGAAAGATGGTGCCACATGAACAACAACAGTAGTCTTTTGGTCCCACATGAAGTTCATTCCTTGATTTGTTTCAATCACAATATAACCTCCTCTGAGGTCCACTTTGTAATTTTTCTCAGCTCCTGGATCAGTAGCTATCTCCTGAATTCTTCCTTCCAAGAGCCTTATTTCACTGCTCTACAAATGAACAGATACATTGCATGGAAGGAAATCAAGTAGAAAACTTAGTGTAACAGCACTGGTATTCTGCCTCTTGTTCTTTGCTTTATTTTTCTGTAGTCTTTGCACCATGTTGTGGTTTGCTGCCAGATGTGAGCCACAGACAAGACCCACTGAGTTTGAAGGGAAACGCCTGCCCTTCCATGACAACTCTTAACCTCATGGGCACATAAACTGTCCTCATTCTAGAGGAAGTCTATTCTGCTGGCACAGCAGCTCCTGAGCACAGGGGCAACTGGGCATGCCAGAACACCCCTTGCCACACCGCTTTGTTTAACTGCTTTGTTTCACCGCTTTGTTTCACCATCCCCTTACTCCCCACTGTGGGAGAAATCTCTTTGGTGTACACTTTGGAGAAATGCTAAGCCTGAGCAGGAGAGAAGAAACTCTGTCCTGTGCTCAAACCATGGTACAGAAACATGCTTCTCTAAAAGCTTCACCATCACTCCTATACCACTAATGGTACAGATACAAATACACACACACAAATGCATGTACATAGAGTGCTGTTGACTCCTTGCATCTATCTCCTCACCTGCAGAAGTGTTCAGTGTCCCTGTTAACACCAAACATCTAAACCTTTCCCAGCTTGCCTGCCTCTGCTTTCTGGCTGTTTGACTTCCATAGGGGCTCTGTAGCAGCAACTAAGTAGGAATATAAGGGGATGATATACTAATTGCTACAAAATCAAGACTACAACTCCTTGGTTATAACCCATTCTAGACAAACCTCAAAAATCAATGTGATCTTTAGGGAGCAGATGGAGCGTGACTTTCCACAGGCGTTGTTCTGAATTACAATCCGGAAGGTGCCAGCATCCATGTTATTAGGGCAAAAATCCTTAAAAAAAAAAGATAACATTCTATTAGATCCTTTGAGGCAACTACTCCAGTCATAAACATTTTCAAGAGCCCTAAGTGAATGACACTCTGTTTCAACTTCTATTATTTTGTCACTTCTTTATTCATTAAAACTCTAGGAATTTTAGAAGAATGCAGTGGAAGCTGACCTAGTGGCAGATTCACACTTGACCAGGATTTTCAAAAAGAAAAACTAAGGGGAAAAAATGAGGTTTTCATAGCAGCAGTCCTGCCCAAAAAAAAGGAATTTTTTTTTTTAAATTAGCAAAACCAACTGTAATTTCAGGATGACAAAATGTCTCACTGAGTACTGTCTCATTACATGCAATTATTATACATGAGGCTCATACCTTAACCTCTGCATGCTTCTGTCACAACAAAAATAATGTCAGTCTTGGATGGCTGAAAGAAAGACTTTTCAACACCATGCCAACCTTTCCCTTGCAGGTGCTGGAATAATGTCCGGAAAGGGCTGTCCAACCCAGGAGTTAATCGTTTGGGATCACACAGTGCCCTCTTGTGTCACTTCTGAAGGTCAATTTACTTTGTTTTATCTGGAAAATAGCACTGTGTCTGCTCTAGGTACAAGAGGAGGGGACTAAGCCCTGCTCATGAGTGTTGATTGTTTTACATGGGAATGCCTTTTAATTACTCAGAATGAAGTCTACAGTGTAAGCATAAGGATGTGAAAAGCATAAGGATGGAAAAATGAAAAAAAATGATACCTGAGCTAGGATATAGTCACAGTCTCCCAGGAAATCAAACTTCTCCCCATCAAAGCTCATGTAGTGCCCATTTCCATACACAGTGCAGGTTCCCTTGCAAGGCTTGTCTGTGCAATTCCACTGCCTTTTGTTACAGGTGCTAGGAGGCAAAATGCAAAGAATCACAATGTTTGTATGAAACATGGGTTTTCCTTAACCCCCAAAAGGGGCAGAATAATGAAAATGTTTGGGTTTTTCAGTGCTTCAAAGAAAATAATCATCTCACATTCTTCAAGCAATTCCCTCTCAACTGTTCTGAGATCATGCCATGAGATGGCATATTAATCAGAAAGTTCATGTTTACTACCCAGATACATTTGAACTTTGTCTATTTTTATTCTATGTTTTCTTTCAAATACATTTTAAATCACTTAGTCCTGGCAGGAGACAGTGAGGATTTAAGAGACAGATTCAAGATGAAGAACTGAATATTTCAACCGTTTCTGAATATTAATCCTTGAGGGACCATGTGGTCAGTTCTGTTCCCGACTACAGTGCTGTGAACAAAATATTCTCTGTCTTCCCTTGGATATTGGGTCTGGCTGAGATGGAGATAATTTTTTCCCACAGCAGCTTTGCATTGGCATCTAGAAATGCATTAGTAACACCCCAGTGTTTTGGCTGTTGCTGAACAGCATTAAGGCTGCCTTTTCAAGCATCCTCCCCTTACCAGCTGGCTAGGGGTTGGGCAAGGTCATGGCAGGGGACAGAGACAGGACAGCTGTCCCAAACTGGCCAAAGGGGTATTCCAAACCATGTGATGTCTGCTCAGCAATAAAAGCTAAGAGCATGGGGTGGTGTGGGAGGGTGAGGGGCCATTTGTTTTATGATTTTTTTTTTTTCTGGAGCAACTGCTATACATACTGAAGCCCTACTTCCTGAGAAGTGGCTGGACATCACCTGCTGATGGGAAATAGGGAATAAATATTTTATTTTCCTTTGCTTCTGCACACAGCCTTTGCTTTTGCTTTATTAAACTCTCTTTATCTTGACCCATGAGATTTTCCATCTTATTTTCTCCCCAATGCCGTCATGCTGAAGAGGGTAGTGATAGAGCAGCTAGGTGGGCACCTGATGTCCAGCCAAGGTCAACCCACCAAACCTTGACAAACCTTACCTCTAGTTCAGGAGGATTGCAGACAGAAAATTTTTGTTGTTATACCTTTGACACAGAGAATGCATTTTTTTTCCAATGTGTGTACTGTACTCATAAGAAAACAAAGCTGTTGCTGCAATAAAACATCTTAATGACTCTGCAATAGCAACAACTGCTTACCAGGCTTTGACTTTACATGTTAAACTTGATCGCCTGTACCAATGGTGGTTAGACCAAAGTGTTTCCTCTTGGCAGAACTATACAGTCTCATCCTCACTAAATAATGAATAAGGATTCAAAGCATTTTACCCACCATGATTAGTAACAACAGTGAAATCTATGGCAGCATTATACCAGAAATTGGAGCAATTAGAGAATTAATTTATCTTGAGAACCATGCAACTGGAAGCACTGCAAGTCATGAGGATGGACCATTGCATGCTCACGTATCTAAATTGAATCCTTTTCTAGAGTTCAGCTGTGCCCCGTAGACGCAGACTCAATTCCCCCTTGTTGAATGAGCAAGCAGAGACCAACTAGGGTAAGGCTGTTATTTCTGAAGCTAGTGTGAAGGCAGAAAAGGATGGAAATGGTTTGACAGAAGATCTTGGTACATGCTCTCCCAAGGTGCAGGCTCCTGCAGGGGGTTGCAGAGAAATATTTTCCCTGTTATTTTTACAAGAAGCCTGATGGCTCTAATGATGAAGAATATGGCTCCAAAGTGCATCCTGCCCCCTGGGTGCACTATGCAAGGACAATTTTAACATATTTTCTTATAAAACAAAACTCCCTGGAATAACATACCATGTGTTGCAGTCCACTTTGATGGTTTCCCCAGGTTTATAGAAGTGTCCTCCATGGACACATGGACATTGATCTTTGGGAATACATCCTCCACTGCCATCCAATACCAGCCCATCAGGACACATGCAGCCAGAAACACATTCTGTGACATACTGCACGTTTAAAGATGGAACAGAAGTCAATTCCTTAATGCACAGAAAGAACAGGGAACCAGCAGAGGTGCTAGTTCTGGATGCCAAACTTCTGGATTTTTTAAAAAATTCCTTAACTGTAAGCTAGTGACAATCAAGCTACAAGCATCACAGCTACATTTTTAGCTGTTAGCTATAACTGCTATGTGATCAGTAAAGCAGCCAGTTTGTAAACAGCATAACGTTACCATCAGTGTTTGTTAAGGACAATCACACATGCACAGTCATGTTGCCCCATGTTCCTGCTAGGAGGTGAAGTCCTTACACAGTGCATGTCCTGCGTCTTACAGCTTTTCTGGCACTCCGATCCGATCGCCCCGGGACCTGCGGAGCTGCAGTTGAAGTAATACATGGGAGCTGGGCAATCTATAGGAGGAAGAAAACACTTTAGGAAGGTAATTTAGTGAAAGCAATAAGGATGCCACCAGCAATTGTAAAACTAGCCAGAGCACTTCAGAGGGCAGTAAGTGGCTCTCATTTAAAGTTTCTAATAGCTTTTGCTTCTGCTCAATAACAGTGCAGGGAGAAGACAGATAACTTCAAAGCTTTGGGAAGTATCCTCATCTTTCAAAGTATCCAGTAAGGATGGTGACATTTTACAAAGACAAATATTATCAATAACCAGCACATTTTAAGGAGAATGAAAGAAATGTGCAGAATACCAAATGTTACAGAAAGTGAGAGATAACGCAGAAAAACCTTATAAATACTAGCTGACATCATAATGCCATTATTTTAAAGAATCTCACCTTTTACCAGGATGGTTTCTCCAATGCAGTCTAATCTTCCTTGAATGCATTTGCTAAAGAGATTCCATAAAATGAAACACATCAGCTCTTTGCCCATTTCTCCCTCACAAGAGAAAAAGGCACTGTAAAGCTTCACTAGTCACATTCAACTTCCTATCAAAATGAATATTTGGTACAGCTATCAGTTTCACAGACATGAATTACCATTCCCTGAAGGAAGATTAAGAGACCCTGCTCTTAAATATTTTTCCTTTATCTGTCACTGATTTACTATACATTTTCCCTAAATCAAGCTTTTCCTAAGCATTTATTTTCCACTCCATGAGATTAGAATAATACTTTATTAAATAAGAGACCTCTTAAATTACTAAATGAATATGTGTTTATAAAATAGTCTAGAGTCCTCAGTTGGAAGACAGAGAGAGAGAAAGAATATATAAACATCTGAAGATAATAAAACAGCCTTCTCCTGGTATTTGTTTGCATTGCTGCCCTAAAGTGATTGAAAATGAGAAAATGACAATTGGTTTTTGCTGCAGATGCAAATTAATTGTGCTATTTTTAGTATTTTCACTTTAAAAACTGAGATTTGGGGTTGGGTTTTTTTCCTGGACCATTTTTGGTTTTTAAATAGTCTGCAGTATGGTGTATTGGAGGGTGGTTTTCACTTTGCTTTTCCATTTCAAAGCCTGAAACTCTCCTGAGCCCTCTGTCTTCTAGGAAATTTGCTCTCATTGTGTATGGATACTTTGACACAACAAAGTACTTTGCATAGAGATAGGTTACAAATATTGCTCTACTCAACATGTTTTCAGCTTGCTAGAAGGAATATAAGATCTTAACATTTGCTGTGGCTGCATTTCCTGCCTTGGTATGGGAATATTTGCTTTGGTACAGTCTAGGAGAAATTAATCATTATTCCTTACTGTAAAATGATACCATTTATGGATTGGAGCAGAGACTTTCCCAGTGAGCCCTGACATTCCCAGGCATGCAGCAGCCTTTGCATCACCACAGAAGCTTACCACATCAGTTTGTCCTCTTGGAAGGAGTTGCCAGGTTGAACAATCTTGCCTTTGTAGTAGCAGGGACAGTCATCTGGAGTTACACATTGCTCTTCATCGTTTAGGTAGGTCCCTTCAGGGCAACCACAGCCCTCCATAGGAGGGATCTGAACTTTGCACAGCGGATCAGGTTCATCCAGTGAGCGGCAAGACTGGTTACAGTACTTCACACTATAGTTATAAACCATAGTCTCAGGACACTCCTCAGAGGGATCTTTGTAAAAGAAATAAAAGGAATGTATGGCCTTCTTTGTGCAATCATCTCTCATGCTGTTAATGTGGCTTTCTGCACATTGGTAACCATAAATGTGCTGCTACCAAACTAGAAGGCCTTGTCTCCCAGTGTTCTGGGGGAAGTCTGCTTACGTAGACTGAACTACACGACACTGAATACTGAGATAATCAGCAGGGTATATATTTTGTAATTTGAAGAATTTACATTTCTATCTTCTGCCAAGAACTGAAACCAGTAATTTCTGACTTGTCCCTGTAGTTAAAAATTAATTTTCTGACCTTTACTAAAGATTTCTTTTGCTGGGAATAGCTGGGAAATGAGCATATTTTGTAAGAGGCAAATTTTGATGTTAAATGGGTGGTGACAAGAAACTTGTTAATCATTTGATGCTGCCAATGAAAGTGTGTTTCACTTTTCATAGATGTCTTGAGGAAAACTTTTGTTGTCCTCCTCTGGGCAAATGAGAAACAATAGTTTCTAAGACCTCTGGACGGACCAAACAGTCAAATACCAAAATCTGAAGAGCTCAACTAACCCTGTAAGACAGTGAAAAGCTGTTTAATTTTCATAGGCTGCCAACATGCAACACCTTCAAAACTCTGTCATAAAATCTGCAGTAGTGATCCATAGGGATGACACCAAATTCTGTCAGAAAACATCATCCACATTAAGGCTGTGGTTTTCAAGAAAGTCTAGCATCCAAATTCCTCTGAAATGCAATGAAAAATGGAGATCTAGTCATGTTGGGCCTCTTTCTAATTCATCCACAGATTTAATCCCACAGCTCTTTTTCAGATGTATTAGAAAGTACAGAGGAGTTGTTCATGAGCAATTGTGCTAATCAACTTTCCAGCAATACTAACAACATATCGGCAATATGTTCCATGCCTAAACAAAGCTTTGTATGGTTTTCCAGTCCATAACCATAAGACTTTCTTAGATTACTTAGCATCCTAGGCTTGTGTACACATGCAAAACCAGCACCTCTACCAACAAAACCCATTTGATTTTCTGGTCCTAGCTGAAGCAAACACAATATCCTGTGTATAAATTGGGCAAGCCATATTCTCCTACTTTATAGGCATCCTTTGAAGATGCAGCAACTGGTATTTGTAAAACAAAATAGGCCAAATAAGAAAGATATTAATAAGGATGCTGAACATGAATTTATATCTGTTTCAATTGGTAGCTATTAATGCAATAAAATAATGTGTTTACTTTCTCCCTTTAATTTTTTGTGGAGGAAAAAGATGTCTTTTGGTAAAGCAAGATCTTGTAGGAGGAAGGTTATTTGATTACAGTACTCATGGTCAGAGATTTGCCATCTTAAATTACATACAACTGGAGGCAAGAGTGCAGAGAACATGAGCATACCAAAGATATCTTCACGCTAGCTTGCACGAGGAGCGCTAAAAAAGCAGCTCTATGATTTAGCAAAGACTACAAACCCCAGCGGTCTGCTGGGTAACCAGTAACTCAAGTAATGGTTCATCCCTCTGCTAAAGATTGTGTAAGGCACAGGCACAGCCAACAATTACCTAGCAGGCTTTACTTATTTCATACACTCTACTTACTGCAATGTAGGCATCCACCTGGGATATAACCTGCCTTGGATGCTGCCTGTAGCCTAGCAGAGTGGACACAGCTGCAGAAGTTGGAACAGCCTTTCCACCCCCCACACTGGGATAGAACTCTGAGAGTGACTGTTGTTTCCCGTTTGTTCTTTCACTCATGAGTAGTGCAACCTTCACTCTTATCACAGGCATGTTCCCAAAAGATTATTTCTTCTTAAATAAGGCCTAAAATGATTGTGCTGATTAAGCCATTGGCATTTTTTCCCAAGATTACTACACTGAGTCAATATTACCTACTGTGACTTAAGTCCACAGATTTCAGTCAAACCCATGCTGCAAGCCAGTCTTGATTTGCCATGAAAAATGTCAGTAATTCCATGTTGGGAACAGAGCTTTCAATAAACAGTGGCTGTGTCTAGTACATAAATCTTCATGCTTCTAGGACAATTTACTGTGCACCATACTGCGTTCCTTTGAATATTTCAGCACAGGTTTGTGACATGGTTCTTAGCATAGTCTTAAATGCCTTTGACAACACACCATACAAGTTAAATTGTTAGTCTTTATTAAGTATCCCAGCTAGCCTCTAAGTCAGGCAATTAAATAGATCATAGCTGCATCAAAGTTGCATAAACATAACTGTTGCTATGTTTTCTATTCAGATGTGCTATTAGTCAGGAAACCAATATATCTATTTTTTTGTTGATAGAAGCAAATCTCTCTTGAACTATCTGACTGTCAATGAAAAACTGGAAATGTTGAAGTAAAATTCAGAATATGGGACTTTCAAGTTATATTCTCAGCTCTGATATTATCTTATAATAAATTCTGGCAGTGCCAAAGGGAGATATATACATATGTGGACTCTAGACTCAGGATTGAGTGACAATGTGTATGTCCAAGAAACTTTTGTTCATTTGTTAGATAGTCCTGAGCTGAAAATGCCTTCAAACACTTTCACCTTCTCATATATCACCAATACATATTTATTTAAAAAATTACTATTTTACTGTAACATGGAAAAATGCAGTTAATGAGAGTGATATCATTTGTATGGGGAATGTCTGAGACAAGAGGGCTGAAAGAGGGCTGCAAAAAAGGTATCAGAATTAAAATACATGGGAAAGGCCATGTGTTCAAAAGTAACCTAATTGCTAGCTAAATCTAAAGTGAAATTAACCCTAACTCCTGTTTTGATGTGGTTAATATGCCTTATACTATTTTGCTTCTCTGAGTACTGAATTCAGCTTATATTTTACACAAAGAATATGCATCATAAGAGTATGAAGCAGCCATGAACTGGCTTTGGCAGGAAGGAGAACTTTATAGAATATATGCTTATTCTGTTTTCAAAGACTTTCTAACTTGATGACTAAACACACAAGACACTAGCTGACGCAAATTGGGCTCTCCTGAAGCTGTTCCCCCAAGGTATTCTAGGACACATACCACAGATGCCCTGCCTCCAGCCCTTCAGGGACACGCCTGCTGAAGCACAGTCTCTGGAGTAAGTAGAGAGCACACTACACAGTGCGACTTCACTCTTCTCAGCATTACAGGTGTCATACATGCATTTCTAAAGGACAGGAAAGGACATAGGCATTATTATGTCCAGCTCATAAAAGAAGCAGGGTAACATATAGCAATTCACAAGATAGTCAACAAATATATTTTTTAAAAGCATTATTACCAATGAAACTTAATATCTCCAAGAGAAAATGTATGCAGATGAAATACTATGCAAACCTGAGAACTAGCAATCCATGACAGAAACTGTAGTGACATGTCTAACACCCCTGAAGAAATGAAAAAAGAGAAAGATAAGGGCACCTATAGTTCATTAAAACACTAAGAAATGTCTATACCAGTCTCCCATGAGGATGTACAATCTAGGACATGTCAAAATATGTCATCTTAAAATATACATAACTGAAAATGTTGCACAGTGATGATGGCACTTGTGTACGTATCTAGCGTGTAGATAAGATACACCCAATTACATGACAATTGCAACAGAAACACAGAGCACTGACTTTGCTTTTCAAAGAGTGAACAATTCTCACTCTTTGAAACTTTGAAATCTTGAACTCATTTTTTGTATTTGCTTCTAGGTTGTGCAACAGATGTCGGTGGTGACAGTCACAATTATTTCCAGGGCTGCAGCCAAAAAGATCCATCTTACCTTGCATAAACTCTGATTTTGTTATTTTTCTAATCAGCATCAGTGAACTTCTTTGGGAACAGACACTATTGTAACCTCTTTCACTCGCCTAGGCCAGGCGACCTTCATGGCAGATCAGTCTCTGGACTAGATTAAACAACCCATTTAGACCAGTGCCTTACCTTGATGTACGCAGAAGGGTCTACAACAGAATGGCAGGCAGCAAACACACTGCTTGTATTAGACAGAAGAGCACACCAATGCTGGGCAAATTTTTCTGAAGTGAGCAAAAATATTGTCCATAGTCACTTAAACCACATTACTATCTGAATCAATATTCTTATCTGGTACCACATAGAAGTAGAATGACCTGAATCATTTAGATAGTGCTGGATGGAAATACAAGTCATTAACATGTCAAAGTGATAAGCATAGTTTGATGGGTGAGCAGCCATCTTCCTAAAAGGAAGGTTTCACTTTCCAAGTGCTAACATTACTACTGCAGCTGGATTTGCAGAACATCTACAATACCTTCCCATTTGCATCGGCTTTTATCAAACTTTCCTAATTCTTTACAGTCAGATAATTTTTTATAGTCAAGCAATAACATCAAGCATGTAATAAACAGGGAGCTGCAGCTTTAATAGCATGTGACAATACCTAGGAGAGCACAGTCTGAACCCTATATATATCCAAATCCAGTCAGAGTGATAAATTGGACAGGGCACCTATTACAGTACAACGCTTGCCTAAGTCAGTATTGTTGATAACTTCTTCCTTTTGACTTCAGCTGTAGCAACCAGATTGGATGCAGAACTTGTCCAAATGTTGACAACCAAGTATGCTCCACCTTAAACCTAAATCACTCTCATTGATGTTGCGTGTGCTTTTCAAGTCATCAGTGAATAAGGTGTTGGCTCTCTTTCTCCAGTAGTGCTGTTTCTTGTTTTAAAACCAAAGTTGTAATCTTAAAGACCTGCAAAACCCAATGTGTCCTCTCTAGTAATAGCCTCAAAGGCAGTGGGTTTTGATGTTTATGAGATTTCTAAAGCTTTTTTGATCATGTGAAAATTATTTAGCACTGATAAACTAGAGATGAAAATCATGGTACCTTTATCCACACTGTTCGAACAAGGATCTTCAAAGCTGTCCTCAACATCAAAACAGCTGGCTCTAGTTTTCCATGAGTTACCAAAAGCAGAAGCTGAATCTTCCACAGCTCCAGTGGCTGTTCTGAAGTCATCAGTCTGGATGTTATTGAAATTGCCACAAAGACCTCGTGTGGGGGGGTAGTGGGGAAAGAAAAGAAGAGATTACTACATGCATGGAAAAAGGAATGGCTTCTAGATGAACACTCAGCTCTATAATGGACCTTGCCTAAGAGAAACCCATTTTTCTTCAGAGACTTCCTGATGTTCCCACAAATCAGATAAGACACTGTCTTTAGAGTGTAATTATTATTTTTCTGTATTACAGTAGCACTTAGTGATAGCACAGAGATTGGAAGCTGCTTGAATGTGCTTCAGTAAACACTAGCAGACAGAGAAGTATCTTCCCCAAAGGCTTATAAGCAAAGAAAATAACAAAAGACAAAAAAAATGGGTCAGAAAGACAGAATGTAATCCTATTTCACTGATAGGAAACAGAAGCACAAAAAGCTTAAATGATGTAAACAGGAGATTGGTGGCAAACCCCAGTACATTGTCTGTATTTCACAAGTCTCTAATGAAGGCCTACTTAAACAGAGTCTAAAAGACCAGCACACACAAAACATCACAAGGATGATCTAATTTTCTTCAGCAAATTGAAGGATTTAGCCAATGCTTTGTTTCAGGACAGCTACAGATCTAACCAGCAGCTGTAACATACCAAAGTGAATATAAAATCAAATATTTTGTTCACTTAAAGAGATAGATAAGCATCTATAACTCAGTTTAAGAGAAAACTGAAAGAGGATGGTGTGTCCTACCAGATGTACGATTCTGAAAAGAATGATCTACTGTTATGGAGAGCTGCATTACAGGTTTCATTTGCACTCGAATCTGTACTCCAGCTGAGCTTAAGATTTTGATGAAAAATGTAGATTGTCTGAAGATGGTGATGCCACCTAAAGAAGAAAGAAAAAAAGGAACGTATGCACTTGCAAATTTTTATGAAACTGAGTAAACAGGAATATCCATTTATCAATGCGTCCAGTGTAACACAGGAATTCCCAGGTAGTCCCAGACCTAGCCTAGTCTTCACCTAACAATGAGCAGAATCAGTTCTTTTCAGAGAAAGGAGCAGGAATCCTTTCTGCAAACAGATGTAGGCTACTGTGGGGAAGCTGTGAAGAAGGGCATTTACCTTTCCTTACTGGCAGCTTCACAATGAAATTGTTCATGTAGATATTTCCACAGGAACATATTTTTATAGTCTGCAGGGAAAAGAAAAAAGCCAGCAATAGTGAATGCATATGACATGACAGACCTGACAAACTTCATTAAGCATCAAGGAATAGTGTCTTCAGAACTTGATCACCTCTGTGGTCAATGTAACTCAGTGTCCAGACACCATAAAATAATGCAGGGAAAATCTCTAGGCCTTAACAAAAAATGAAAACCCCTCTCCATAATCAACAGCTTTGATTGAATGCTCTCATACACCTAAAAGGTGAGCCATCTTTTTGAGAACTGCATGTGAGATGTTCTGTGTAGGTTTGGATCCATCTCATTGGAAATGTAACATATGCAAAATGAGAACTATCTGACTCAAACTCCCTCAGTAATCAATGGAGGGAGATAGGCCCCTCCAAAAGAACACCTCATACCTTAGGTGGGTTGACTTAACTTGTCCTTTGGAGATCCCCATCTACCTTTATTGACCATAGAAGTAGGTTAGGATGTCAAACCTTCTAACAAGGTTAGGACTGCAATAGCTAAATTCCAGGTGTGCCAAATAGATCTGTATAATTTTAGGAGTGTATAAATACCAATCCTAACTCAGCTTCCTCTGAATTTAGTGTGAATCATGCCATAATTTTCAGTAGAAGCCTTTGGCCTTCATTCGGAGAATTCTGCTACTTCAGTCACTGCATTAGGAAAAACCTGAGGACTCAGAACTGTTGTAAAATAAAGGGGATCTTTTCTTTTAAAAGACTCAATCTTTCAAAAATAAACAAATGAAAAAGTTTGAAGTCATGAAAAAGAGAAGGAAACTTGACTAGGAGGATTTTTAGACATCTACCTCTTAAGAAAATGGAAAAGAATCCAAAAGAACTGGAAAGGAAATAACTCTTACAGGACAAGCCTAACAAACACATGCACTGCATCATCTGCTGGTATTAATCTTCCCATCTCAGGACAGCAACAGACCAAAATGAGTCCACTGTGTTAGAGAAATCACATATTTGAACCCGAATAAAAGTGATCTATTATGTGTCACTAATTAAAGCCAATTACTCACAGTTTTTCCTAGTGTGACTAATACATTCTTTAAGCAAGTCATTGTCTTTGATGTCCCACACTGAATGATCTCTCCAATCACCACAATTGTGTCATCCCTGTTCTGAAAAGACATAAAAAAAGGGATGTGCAGACATTGTTACAGGATGGGAGCTAGAAGGGGGAAAAGTATCTCTGAAAGGCTAAGATGGAATAAGGAAAGAATAGGAGTATTTGATCTCTAACTGCAAACTGTATTTCATTGCCAAAATCAATAATGTTCATTAACTTTCCTGTGCACTCTGTTTCCTTGCTATCAGCCTGTGTGGATCTCATATTTGCAGACAGCCATATTCAACCTTTTTGTGGAAATTTTTGCTCATCCACTTCCTTTTGACAATCACACATAAAGAAAACTTCAGGAGAAATGCTTAAATCTACACTAATACATCAATTAAGAAAATAATTTCAATTAAAAAAAATACAACTATGTTGAAGCTGCAAAACTTTGAAGCTAAGCATCAGCAATTGACATGCCATTCTTTGCAAATTCAAAAATTTATGGGGTTTAAAACTGAGTATGTGTTGAAGTGCTTTGCTGAACTGGTGTCATTTAATTAAATTAAGTCATATAAAGCTCCAGCACAGTTTAATGCCTTATGCTACTCAAGAGATTTAGGAGTGAAATGGGAGATTGCTCATACCTTAGCTAGGACATAATGACAGTTGCCATGAAAATTGAATCTCTTGTTATCAAATGTTGTTATATGGAATCCTCCATCTATGTGGCAATTTCCTGAACAGGGCAGAGAGATACAGCTCCAGTGGCCTCCTTTGCAAGTACTGTGCAAAACCCAAAAACCAGCAGTTAGAATAAACACAGCTTCAAGGGAGAAAAGGTGATATGCCATTTGAATCTGCACAGGTGCACTCTCTTTGTCTTTTTACCTTGTCTTCTCATTAAAACCAGGTGGGAAGAAGACTTAAGGCCCTTAAAGTGTGAAGTTTGAATGACTCTCAATGAGAGATTGAAATGCCCTGGGCTTTGAACTAACTCCCTCACAGAGACACTGAGGTGGTCAAGCAAGAAATGTTTTTCAGGGCCTAAATTGTTTACTTGACCTTTTAAGGAAAGAAAGAACTTCCAACAGGATCTTGCAACATTTTGTGCTATTGATGCAACTATTCAGCAAGTTGCTGATGCAACATTTTGGCAGCTAATTGTGGAGGACCTGAGATAACAAGCAGTTATAATTCTTACACCTGTGCACACAAGAGGAAAACAGTCCTGCCACATAGACTCAGGCTTTGAGAGGAGTAAGTGAGGACGTGGCTAGATGGGAACCACCCAAAGCCCATTAATTTCAGTTACTCAAAATTGCAGGAAATATTAATCTGAAAGAATTTTCAGAACATCTACCCCATCATGCATCACAGCACATTTCATTCCTTCCTAACATGAAGGTCAGGCCTATGGTCAAGAAATGATACTGTGTCACAGGAGCTCAAATAACATATACAACTGTTCATTCACCAGATGGGTATCAGAGCAAGAAATAAAGCTGTTTTGAGAGTAATATACCTAAAGTTGTATCAACTTTCGCTAGTGCGGAGTGGAGATGGGTTCAAGCCACCAGATTTTTTCTAAATCAAATCATTTTCAAGGATCATGATTTTTGAGATCCAGGCCTTTATACAGTCTTTGTAAACAAGAGATTGTTGGAAATGTCACTTATTAACATGGTCTGACTTCTCGCCTCGCTCTAGTGGCCAATGTCTCTGAATTAATCAGCAAAGAGTCTCATTTTTCTGCATTCTGAAATCTCGAGCTCAGTTTTCACAACCATTTTCAAGTGAGAGTGGTAATAACTGTGTGAGGTTGAGGACTACCTCTAAATTTTCCTGTACTGTTGAAATTCAGACCCAAGCTTTGCATTGTTATTTAAGATAAATATCGGGAAAAGGAAAAAAGAAATGAGAAAAGTACAAAATGGAACTCATCAATACTCAGAAGTAAATACTTCTGCCTTGTTAGTGCAATCAGGATCACATCAGTACCAGTTTTGGCAGGGAGTGGAATAAGTTCCTCCAGATGAGTAGACTTTGCCTTGAAACATACAGGGGCAGCTGCCTCTGGGGATGCATTTCTTGCCACTGAGGTCATCAAGGATCGTTCCTGTTCAGACACATTGGCTAGTTAATATTGCTTTGGTGAGTCTGGGAAAGTCTTCCATCAAGGAAGATTAGAGTACGGAAAAAAACTCAGGAGTATTCAGCACTTCTTTGAACGAATGGGATACGTTTTAAGGAAAACACCCCAGATGTTAATGGATGGGAAATATTTCTTACTAGAGCTCAAATGAAAGCAATGAAGAACTCAAAGAATGTTTACTGTTATGAAATTTTTCCTCTGTCACATGATTATCTAGTGTCAGATTGCAAGGATGTAAGCCAGTTTCCATTCTTTTCTAATAGTGAATCTAACAGAAACCAGAACCTCATCTTAGACTCTATTTCATGTACAAATTTACACATGCACATACCTGGAAATGCATTTATATTATGTGTCACTTAACCTAGATCAAGATCTAGTCTCACAACAGGGAGGCACCTCACCAGACATCTTCATCTACATTCTTACTTCTAGAGTAAGAATTCTTACTTTCTACTTCTGCACAATTTTTTTTCTGCCTTGTACTTAGAAATCTTTCCCTTTCCTCCTCCAGTGTCAGGATCTTGAATCTTTAGAGATCTGGTTCTTCCAAGAAGAAAGTTTTTAAATTATGCTAGAAGAAACAGTTTATTTGTTGCGTAAAATGCTAAAGAAAGGGAACAACCTCCCCTTTGTCCCCCGATGTGTGTGATCACTGGGAGAAGTGAACTGCCTTACCAGGAGGACAGAAACAGCCATCTGTACATGGGGCTTTACAAATCTTGCTCCTTTCTGGATCTGCACATGTGTCAGCACAAGAGTTTCCACATTCCATGTACTCCATGTTGTTTGGGCATTCCTGATCTGCAGGATCAAATGAAAATGGAGTCTGTTAATGATGTACTTATAAGATCTCTCAAATCATTGTACCTGACTCCTTCTTCCTCCTTTCCTGCTTATCTCATTTGCAAGACCTTCTGTCCAGATATGTCATGTTTGTTCAACCTCTAAAGGAACTTTTTATGGCCACTTTTACTTTACCTGCGGACAAAACAGTACTGCTGGGAAATATGAGCTATTTTACATTATCTTACTAGCTCAAGGTTGGCTGATGTCGTGATAGAAGCAATGAACACCAGATTCATTTATGGAGTCATAATAGTTTATTTTTGCCTGAAGCTGTAGTCATTCTGGCATGAATTTTCTATCCCAATCCACACCAGCAGTTTGGGTGAACTACCTGTAGCTTTCCCCCTGGATTTACAGTTATTTCCTGCTTGGTAACTGGACTACTGAGTAAGAAAGCACAGGATAAGCTAAATACAAACATATTATACTTTTCAGTAACTACTTCTGTCTAGTTGTCAACATTTGAAACAAGGTTATTTATGACTTAACTGTGCATGGTAAAATTCAAAAAAAGAACTGGAGAAAACTTACTTGCAAGAAGGAGGGGGGCTACATCAAGGTATAGTTCTAATTCAAGAGGCAAAATCAAATTAAATTTGTAGAAGCTTTTCCACTAACAATGTTTCTGCCTAAGTACTTCTACAGATTGATTCACAGTAGTTAACAGAGCCCCTAGCTTTGCTCCACTGGAATCAGAATACTTGCCTAAATGTCTAACCTGAGAGAAATCTCCAGAACAGTAGTTACTTACAGCAGAGTTCTTTGGTTCTCCATTCTCCAGGGTCTCCCTTCCTCAGGACACAGTCTCGAGAGTACTGGTTTAAAGTGCTGCATATGCAGCTGGAAACCAGATCAGAGTGAGAAGAATTAGCTGCACAGTGACACATATCTTCAGCACAGGTCTCTATGTAGTCATCAAATGCAACCACTTTGGGGCAGTTTCCAAAACGGGACATAAGTTTCTTGCATCTTTTTTTCTGTTTAAAAAAAAAAAAAAAGAAAAAAAAAGAAAAACTATACTTGACATTTGACCACCTCTCGGGTTTATGGATATACAAGATTTCATTGATGACAAAATTCCAGGGCCACAGGATAATTCAAGTTGGAAGGGATCTCAGGAGATTATCCAGTTTAACTTTCTGTCATGAGGTTTTTTCTTGGACTGGAAGCTGTCATTCAATTGTGCATTCTCCCGCTATCTATTTCTCTAACACTATAACAGGATATTCTTTCAGCATTTTGCTCAAATTCATGTGTAAAGTCCTGAAAAACTCAGTTTAGTGCTTGCTCTGTAATTAGCACTTGTTTCAACACAATTTCTCCAGCACTGTAGTTCAGGAGGGGTTGTACTTCTTGGTCACACATACTTACATATATACTGCATCTATCATCTTTCCTCCTAGGATGTCTTCCAGTATTGTCATCTGGACTCACATCAGCACACTTTTGTGATGGATCCTCTACTTTGTGGAAGTTCCCAAACTGTCTTGGATGCATTTTATATCCTGCAAAATCCCCAGATGCATGTCAGTAACTGCCTGCAATTCTTTAGACCAGTTAATGGGCTATAAAGATGCACTTAATTTTTGGTCTTTAAGGCAGTATGCACCTCACCAAAAGCCCAAATTTAACCAGCATCCATATTATAAAGGCCGATAGCCTGATATAACTTCTGTTGAGCTAGAGCCAGGAATATGGCACACTTGTATCAAGGCCTGCTGTCAGCTTGGGAATTTAAAATCACATGAAACTCTTGACCTTTCTATTGCATCTCATCATTTCCGAAAACTTTGGTTTGTTTAGGGTGTATTTGATCTTACAGAGTTTTGTATTTGCATGTATAACAGTCATACATTTTAACTTGCCTTCTACTATCAGAACCTAATGTAAAGCCTTAGGCTTGTATGTTCTATAACATTCTCTACCTTCCTCCCCCCCCTAATGTTTAATAGACAGATTCCTGACCAGATCTATTCTCCTATACTAACTCAGTCCCCTAAATATTAATTATTTCCACTAAAGCATTGTTTTCAGATGCTTTACCACTAATGTTTTTGGAAACAGGTGATCTTTTAAAGCTCTGAGCTCTTGGAGCCACATGACTTTCCAAGGATCTCAACTGACATTAAAGAACATAAAGAACAAAGTTTCAAGATGAGCTACTTCATGTAGATATGGGATTTTTCTTCCTGATAAGAGGAAAGAGTCTGTAGGTAATGAGGAATTTTGAACCCTTACATGCAGTGGATTTTAGCCTGGACAAGTATACTGAATTCTGCCTGCTCATTCCAGAGAGAAAAATGTATTCAGGAAAGATGTGGTAGGCCATGTGGTCCCCAGGCATGGGAATCTGTTTTATATGGAACAAGATGCATATGAGAAGAGTTTGGTTTTCTTAGAGCAATGGTTCTCAGTAGAAAACTGTTTCTTCATAAAAAGTTGAGCCACCTTTAGTTTTCACATATTGCACTTGTGAAGTATAGGGCACAAACATGATTAAAATGTGTTCAATACCTAATACAAAATATGAAAATGACCCCCCAATATATTACTACAAATGGTACTTTTAATCAAACCTCAGGATTCTTTTTGAATGGGTGAGGTAGATGACCATATTCTTCTGGTGACCTAAGAAGCCAAGGTATTATATTAAGGCATATTGTTATTACCTTGGCTTCAGTCCTGCAGCTAATATCTCAAGATGCAGGTTTCTCTTCACTCATACAACCTTCTGCAGGACTTAGCCTCAGCTATTTGTAATATCTGAAGGTGTCAGTGGATGGCACCACAGTTTCTTCCAAGATGCTCAATGAAATCTCTGTGATTTCTCTGATGCTTTCATTTCATTATAGAGACAAAAATAATCACAGGCAGAATGATTAAAATGGAAGAAGAGAAAATACAATCGTGCATTTCTTTAAAGTATGTTATTATCAATGGGAAACCTGGCAATGTTGCTGCAGGATAGCCAAGCAATTAATTTGGGTCAAAGAGGTTTGAGACTCTTGCAAGTTTGAAAAGAGCAGAGAAGCCCAGATCATCCCAAAAGCTCTTAAAATACATCTCCTGTATATGAAAATGTTCATGTGCCTGTCAGGAAATCCAAAACCCTGCTAAATATACAGATATCAAGTTTTATGTCATGTATTAAGAGGTCTGTTCTGTGTGGAATATGCTGTATTTATGACCTACCATCCAAAATCAAATCATTCTTCTCACTGCCATCATAGTTCCCACATAGACCACATATTTTCTCTTTATATGTTTCTTCCAGGTCCAGCTACAAAAGAGGAAACACAGAGTTTAAAGGCTTTTCTCCACATCAGCAGCACGTTACAAAGTCATTCATGCAGAAATGCTCATTCCCAATTTGTAGCAGTCTCCTTTTCTTTTACAATGCTGTCATAAAACTTACCTGTAGACAGATTGAATTCAAATGTGAAGATAATCCTCTAGCAACTGTCATTCCTAGCTACTAAAGACCTAAGTGAAGCATGCTGAACACTGGACTAATCCTTGAACCAGTGTCTCCTAGTATAGAGACACTGGTATATAGACATTTTGTACCTCTTTCATGGTACCACAGCTCCTCTCCAGGCAGGTCAGATAACTGTGCTCTAATGCTGGATGCTGCAAAGAAGCACCCTCTAGGTAGCTCTTAGCCATATCTAAGAGTTTTTCCAGTCCATAGGGTAAATGGAAACCTTTATAGCACTTCTAGGGATGGGTCTGCCCAGCATTACTTGTTTTGCCCATAGTTAGGGGAAATAAAGATCCAGGTTAGCACACTATTGCCTTGCTAGATAAAACTACAGCACCTAATCACTCTTACATACTTGGAGGATAGTACTGGCATCACTCACGTCCACAAAAAAAAAAAGGCGATGCTTTTCCTACAAGTGTGTCACCCTAAAATTGTGTCCACTCTGCAATCATGTACTGGTACTGCATTCAGTATTTTAGGTATTAATTAGTACAGGGGAAGGAGGGAAGCAAATACTTCAATAAATCAGAATTTCAGTATCACTTGATTGCTTCCTGGTTTTTTTTCTCTCTATTCACCTTTTACCCTCTCTCTATCTCTGAACTGTAAAACATGACACGCAAGTTCCACTTAGTTAATCTCAGTCCTGATTGTGAAGGATAAGTGTTCACGCACAAAAGTGTAAATACACTGTTGAAGAAGAGGATATTATAGGGTAGATCTTTAGAGGGGAATTCTCTCGTAGCATGGCTTTGGAATGACAGAGGCCAATGCCTGAACAAGGTCACACAGATTAGTTTCCCATGCAAGATGTGCATGAAACAGAGGGTAATTAGCAAGTCAAAGCTGGAGGGACTAGCTGTGTTGCTGTCAGTGCCCCAAGGAGCAAGGAAGTAATTACAGATGTGTTACATCCAGGGTTAACAGTGGCAACTTTTGTCACATAAAATCAGCTGGAAATGCCTAGGGGTTGTGACTCCATGAACTCCAGGACCCTGCTCCACAAAACTGTTACCTAGTTTGGTATTTCCCTATCAGTTTATGGATACAGTGACACCTCTCTCCCACAATTTCTTTCATTAACACAGTGCCTGCATCCAGCTCTGCTTTTCATCATTGATGAGTTTCACCAGGAGAAAAACAACTAACTGGTTGTTCATACTAGGAGAGTGTCAGCCCAGTTCCACTTGAGTGTCAGGCCCAGATTGGAAGTGACTTGGAAGTAAGTACAGGTGTCCTCAATCAGGATGCTCTTCAAGCTGAAGGGCATGGGGATCCTGGAAATTGGAGGGAACAAAAGAGATTGCATTAAAAAAAAAAAAGACTGATGTAATGCTCACAGAGATATAGGAAGAAAACCTAGAGTCAAAACAAACTAAATAAGATGTGGGAACACTCTTTTCAAAATCAGCCTCCATCCATCCAATGCATTGAATTTAGGTGTGATCACATTGTCCACTGTGACCTTTGACCGACCTTAATCCACAACACAATGTATTTTGGACATTTGTTGATACTACGTTACCCATTCAACAGATACCAAAGGAGCTCTGCTTGTTTACATATCCTACGACCTAACCCAAAACTTTATAAGGAACAAGAAGACAATATTGGGAAAATGCCCTCTGCATGAGGACACTGCAGATTATCATCATCCCTCCAGGATTTCCTTGACATTTGGGATTTGCAGAGATGTGAAAAGAGCTCTGTTCTGTTACTCACCTGCTGATGCGACTCAGACCTACATTAGTTTTCCCTCTTATCAAGACGATTACTGTTCGTTTTCCCACAGTCTAAAAAACTTAGAAATTCAGAAAATGGCTAAAATTTAAGAGATTTCTTGTCCCTTTGACTTAGAAGACACATATGGGCTTTGGTGCTATAATTACCACTAGTGACGAATGCTGTTCTATATTTGGTTGTTTCTAGAAGGCTGTCAAGACAGCCCATATGCTTGCAATTTTCTCTCCAACAAGATTGTGAGGGGTTTTCCCAGAGTCAAAGATTGCCTTAGGCCTTCATAATTAAATGCTAGGAGAAGAACTCTGTGCTTCTCATGAGGACTGCCCTTAAAATTGTGCCCAACTTACAACAGTACAGTCTTTACTCACTTGTTCCCGTTCACGGTGATGCCTGTCTCCTTCACCTCCAAGATCACTCCATCAATGGTGACAGTGAAGTAGATCAGGAAGTTATTCTTGTCACTGCGTCTGATCTGAATGTTAAAGTCCTGGTAGCTGTCATTGCAGTGTGAAGCGAAGACATATGTGCAGGTTCCAGGAAAAGTAAACTTAACATGGTCAAATGTATGAAAGTGGAAATTGCCCCAGGTGGCACATTCACTCCTACCAACAGTAGAGACCTGGACTAAAGAAAAAGCCATAGGAAGAGAGCTTAGAAATTCACCCCATTTGAGGTGCTTTGCCCTTTTTTTGTTGAAAAATAATAAAGGAGAGATTTTTCAAAGGGCAAAAATAATAACTCCTGGAAGATACTAGCTTGTGGGAAGGAGTTTCATCTCCCTGATCTTTTGAAGTCAATGACAGAGATACCTCCAATGTAAGCAGATTAGCCCTGGCTCCTTTAGGTTAACAGTGAAGCAGAATGGGTTCAGCTTCCCTACCTTACATATCTGCCTAACAAGATTCTCAAAACTGCATGCATCTCTCCATTGTCTATAAAGATTGTGTCTGTATTTACACAGTAGACCCATCCAAAGTCTTGTATTGAGTCCCTTCCAGGAGATATAATAGGTGTCATGACTACAGCAAAACAGCAGCCACTGGTCTCATGGCTGAGGCTGCTACCACCTTCAGCAGTCAGCTAAGAGCTACTTGTTCTTTCTTCTCAACCAAAACTCATGTTTTGGACCTCTAAGTTGTACCTCTGTCAAATGCATAGATACATACCCTAAGTGCATATAAGATATCACTGCAGAAAGTCATTTTCATGCCACTGAGCTTCACAAAGACAACATGAATTACCCTGAATTAAATCATATATGTTTGCTACAAAATGCATTTAGCATTTCTTCTAGGCTCATCTGAAAGAATGACAAATGAAAATGGGCAAATTTCTTTGTGTTGTTTAGGTAGCTTGTTTAGGAATAGCATCATCCATCACAGATCAAATAAAAAACCAATGTAATAAAAAATTAATGCACTCAGTGAATTCTAAAATATTATTGAATATTCCTGCCTAAGAACCACCAGGGGAAAACTGAGAAATTCAGATCTTAATGCTAGAAATGTGCAACACAAACTCAAGTGCCATGAAGTCCTTACAGAAACACTCCCTTTTTAAAGGGACTGTTATTTGCCATAGGTTGTTGTAGCACTAAAGTGGAGTAGGGCAATTTAGCACTTTTCTACACAATAATGAGGGCAAATGAGAAAGTTTGGCTATTCTTGGAAGTAGAATTGCTAGAATTACTAAGACAGCAATAACTGTTACATCAATTGTTTGTGCATTAAGCAGTTGGGAAAAGTGTAAGACATTCAAAATCAAACCAGGAGATAAGAGTGCAGCAGACCACAAAAAATGTGATTATTCCTAATGCAACATTTCTTGCTGGTCAATCAAGTCTAGCTGCATTATGATACATACTCCTTCTATAAAAAATATAAGTGAAATGTGTTGAAAAGGATATCACCTTTTTTTTTTTTTTTTGTGATGCAACCTGCATCCAGAGGGTCTCCTCTTAAAGATTAGTCACTTAGGACATAAAATAGTTGATACACTACCTACTAATGGAAGTAAAAAAGTAAAATACTTAAATGGTTGACAATAAGGATGAAAATGTACAATGTTAAACAGTGTCTGGCATGAATAAACAGCATGTTAAACAGCTCTTACATGAATATGTTACACATTTTAACTTGTCAACTCTATTTTTCACCTATGGAGAGCAAAATGAGAGTAAGTAATGTGAGAATTAGATTTTTTTCTTACCTATCTGAACAGGTTCTTTGCCCTTGCAACAACTCCAAATTAGGCAGAAGATCCAAAATGATCCCCCCCTTTTTATTCCCATCTTGCCATGGAGCGGTAACTTGAAAATCCTTTCAGGGAAGTGTTTTTTCTTGGCTTATAGGCAGATTTTTATAGTCCAGGAGTTTGGCATGAGAACAAAACATTGATGGCAGGGTCCCTGAAAGGTGGAGCTTCATTAAATTTTCTTTCAGTTGTTCATATTAGCACCCAGCAACATTCTGTCTTTCAGAAAAGACAGGTATCCAGTTCTCTCTTGCTTTATGGGAAAAGAGAGTTGTCCTTGTCTAATTTCCATTTTTTAATATAGGTCCCCCCACCTTCCTCCTACATTGTTGTTATTTCTTTGGCAACAATAGTTTTTCTTTTTCAGAACATCTGATTAGTTAAAAGCAATCACTGGCCTCTTTCAGAGCTTTGCTCTGGCTTGCACATCAGCACAGTCCTCCAGCTCAAGAAAACGTTTTTGTTACCTCTGCTAACTTTGAATCACTAATGGTGACCTCTGAATGTTAGAGCAAAAAGTATTGTAAGGTCAAGCATAATGTATGGTTTATTTAGAGTAAAATCTTATGGCAGGAGGGCATTGTCCTTTAAGAAGTGTATCCAAAAGGTCTTACAAAAAAAGACCAAAGACTAACTGCTTCAACAGATCAGGAACAACATTAGGCCACAAAGTGCAAAATTCTCACATGTACTGCACAAATGGCATATAATCATACCAGTCAGTCATAGGAAGGTAATTTATTCTTTATGCACACAGAGGCAGTGGTTTCTCCAAACATCATAAAGAAGCAGTGCCCAAGTCCCATCAAAACGTAGACCACAATTCAGTCCTTTACCTCTTGAATTATGCTGCTGCAAAAGCATCCCTTGATTCTTTCAAAGTACTTTAATACCCTATCACAGACCCATAAAAAATCCAGCAGATTCAGTCACAAGCTCTACGGTCTGTAGGATATCCTGTTACAGATGTTTGATATCAGTAATTTTAGAGTCTCTTCTAGGAATTTACTTGCTTGGTTGACACTAGCATTTCTTCACATCATCCATGTCATGGGAGGACTGCTTCTGACATAGAGGAAGCCTCTCACCTAGACCCAGCAAATCAAACACAGATGACACACTTCCAGCTGCTCCATGCCCCTTTAGGTATATACTAATGCCAGAGTGATTGCCAGTAGTAAGTGGGCATGAGTAAAATTGAAGGTGGACATAGGGCTCACTCTGGTTGCAAGGCTTCAGGTCGAGCTTGTGCAGGCACCCACTGGAAAATATGCATGCCCTTTTATCTGGTTGGCAGACAGTAAGCTGGTCCTTGAAAACAGTCTCTTGCTCACTGCTATACCAAGCTTTCTGGTATTGACACAGTTGAGTGAACCAAAGATGGCCTACTGCTTCTTTCAGCTGCTGCCCCTGCACAGTTGTGAAGTGGCTTAAAGAACTGCAGGTGCAAATGTCTGCCAGAGGAAGATTTGCTGCTGCTGTTGCTCTAAAGAAAATTCAGCAGTAGCGGGCAAGAGCATTGTGCAGTACATGAAACATGAGTTCATGTTACCCCTTTGCCACTGTCCGTGTCCCATTAATTCCATTGTCAGTTGCATTTGAGGCAGGGCGCTACTGGAAGGCAAAGTCTGTTCTTGAAGCCCTGCCATTTTGGCTGGAATACAGAACCAACAGACTTTATGGCACTGGTGATGGAAATAATGGACTCTTGCTGCTTTTCCTTTTAATCACAACACATCTTCTCTGCTGATCTCCATACAAATAGGTACAAAGTAAACCACAATAATATCAAGTAGATAAACCTAACCACGAGAATATGACATTGTAGATATGAGGATGGTCTGAAATAAATACAGTGCAACAGTAACACTCAAATTCAGCATATTCTCATGGTAACTTTCAAATTGAGTTCTTGTTCATGCCACAAAACAGGGCTAATGGCAGGTGTGGGGAAGGGCAGTGAAACCCAGGAGGAAAAGCGCATAGGTCAGTAAATCACAGACACAGACGAAGAGAGTTTAACTGAGGATAAAGATAGAAAGCCAAAAGGTAATAATTTTCCAAAATCAAAGCTAGTGTCAAAATCCAGATGTAGAACTCTGCTGAGATAAAGTCCATAATTTTTTAATCATGGTACTCTTCTTTCCCCAATCCCGCCCAGGCAATCAAGGCATTTTGGTATGAGAGCAGAAAGAAGAATAAGATTCTAGGAATATGATTCCTGACTCTAGAAAAAAATCCCTTTATTCCCACTGAGCAGTACAAAAGCAGCAGGAACCACATATTAACTCCTTGCCAAAGATACTCTTCAGGTTGGAGTAGTCCTTTGATGAAAAATGCATAGTGAGGTTGACCAGTGCAACTCTCAGCCCTTTGTCTTCTGTGCGTGGGGCAGTTCAAAAGACATGATTTCCCCCATAAGCCCCACTTAGCACTTAGGTTCATGGGAAGAGCATGAAAAGCACATGTTAAAACTGTGTTCAAGGAACAGAGAGAATAAAACACTGAACCAACATCCACTTACGCTCTACTCAGCAGAGAAAGTAATATCAGTCGTCTGGGATCCTCCTCTAAGAAAAGCAAGAGCACAACTCCTGCTACTCAAAGAAACAGGACGCTCAATCCTCTTCCTTTGCATCTAGACATTTTCTTACCTCTGTTTGTCTGCTCTGTCATTTTTGCCATTCCTTTGCCATTTCTTGGGGAACAGAGTTCCTGTCAGTGACTAACCAGAGCTGCTGCTTCTGGCTTCTCCACCGATACTGCAGGCTACACTCCTTAGAAATCACTGGATGCTTCACTCCCCTGAAATGATTTCAGGGCTACTGACAGGGGAAGGATATTTGCATTCAAATGAAGTTTTTATATTCAAACGTGGCAACACGGAGGTTTTCAGAAAAAACACATGGAAGCTTTCAGAAGAAAATTCAGACTGACAGGGAGCTTATAGACTGTGTTGATCACTTACCACTGAATCATTGCTATTGCTGGCATGCAAGATATAACTATTCCCCCTGCAGTGACATACTGGGATTAATAACTCTTCCCTTTATTGGATTCTGAGGCATAAGAGGCCTTCCCTCTTCTGCAGCTGTATTACCAAAAAGAACAATTCTTCTTGGCCCCTTTACCGCCCATTTCATGGATCATTTGCCACTAAAGGGTATGTGATTTTAGTAAATACAATAGGTAAATATTAACTTAGCTTCTTTATCACCACTGACTCACTGAAGATAAACCGTCATGAAGCTAATGTAATACAGCAGTGACTCACATCTCATATTTTTTGCTACACACTTGGTAAAGAGGCACTCAAATAGGGGGCATCTGGTGAATTAATATCCAGCCACTGTACTGAAGTCTGGCAGTTGAATTCGTATCATATCCTTCTGTCAAAAGGTGATTCAATACATACTGTAAAGCATTAAGGCCATCTTGGATCAGTCCAAACACTTGTGGGGTTCAGCTTGGAAATCCTCTAATATTCTGCTTCATTCAGGCAAAGTTGGTACTGCTTCTTAAAATGAGTACCCACTATAAAATGGTGTTTTACAAGCACTGTCCAAATAATAACTCTAAAGAAATGATGCATGCTTCATTAACAAGGTAATGTTAGCCAGGAAAACAATTCATTTGGATTTAGTGTCAAGCCTTCTTGTGCCAATAATCCATATGACAAAAAAATTCTGAAGTGAATTTGGTAAAATATTTTATATAACTGATAGTTATAACAATCACTTGTGCATTCTAAATTGCCAGTAGAATTCAAAAAGAACATGGATTACATTTTTTATTTTTTATGATATCATAGAATTTAGGAAATTTACAATAAAGATTTGTTTGATCCATCAGATTTGCATCTACCACTCAGTTTGGAACAGCTGTCAGTATGTATAAGGTGATCTGCAGCAGGCAGTGGAAAAGGAGGGAATGGATCTCTGTCATTAATTATCCATTAAAATATATGAAGAATGCCTGCAGTATTTTAATTTTGGTAGGAAATGGTTGAATGTTTTCTTACATTTTGCCTTAGAATGAACATAAAGCTCCTTAACCTCTCATCTTGCCATGGGGCTCCTTGACTTTTCATGAAAAAATCAGGGACATTAGTTATTCCTGTTTGCAAGGAAAGAGTTCAGCTGCTCTGTGCTGGGTTTTTTTAAGAAGATGTAGATCTGTCAAAATCCACGTACAAGCAGTAATGACACGGCTGATTGGTGTTCATGCACACAGGTCTCTTTGACCTATTGGCACTTCCTCACGTAAGAAAGACTCCCTGCATAGAAAGCCATCTCATCAGGAGGTTGGGCCCTTGAGATTTTCTACTTGAGAGATTTTTCTTTAAGCAACCTTCCTGGTGAAAAGCATGGAGTACATGCTTTTCACCTTCCTGGTGAAAAGCAGAACAAAGGGAACCCAGGGCCCCTTGTGGGGAAGGATGCAAACTTTCTGCTATAATAATTAGAGCTTTATGGGGTTTAGGCTAGAGCAGATTCCACCTCTTTTTAAAAAAGCAATTTCTTATTTCATGAGTGCCAAGATAATTCAGAAGAGGCCACTGCATACTTAATACAGAGGTCTCTATAATCCTGAAATTACATGAAATGACACAGCAAGTAACCATGTTCACTATGACTGAAAGGTACTGCAAGCCAAAAGAAAGGCTGAGAGATGGGGCAGAGAACAAGTTGACGTGGGAAGCTAAGCAACCTTGGCCTGTTTTTTTCCTAAACTGGACTTACACTATGCCCCTGTTAAGGACCTGATCTAAAACTCTGTCAGAGCATTCCTACTGGACTCACAAGATTGTGATCCTTCCAGCATAACCTGTAATATTTCGCAGTAGGCAGCTAACTTTTCTATGTCATCCAAGTTTCAGAGCTGGCCCTGCCTTGAATGCCGTAGCCACCAAAACTGAAGCAGTTTTGTAGGTGGTTGAATACCAGTTTTAATTTAAATCCAAACACCTACCCAGAAAGAGGAAAACCAAGGGAAATGGGGACACAGTCTTTCCTTAGGCCTCTGCTTAGCATGTTAGGAAGGCAGAAATAGGCCACCCAGGGACTAGCTGCCCTTAGTGTGCTATGTTTTGCTCAGACTCCCTTAAGGAGAAGAATGACCATACATCTCCCATAGATCCTGCAAACAAAGGGCAAGAAGTGCTCAGCTACACTAGTCCAAAGGGACAGGCTATTGAAATTTAACTGCTGTGTCAGGTCACAGGCACTGTGTAAAGCCACATTCCTTGATCACCGTTCCTGTTGCCTTTTGTTACTGCTTAAAAGAAAGCTGCATGAACCACAGGTGCTCCTTCTCAACCCCAAATCTGCCATACTATAACTCTACTTGATTTTTGTCAAATAGGGTAGTTGAATGTATGTTGTTTCGCTCAGTATCTGAGGTTTCTTCTCCAACTTGCTCCCCACATACATGATAATCTTTAGTGATTTGAAAACCTGTTATGCTTCTGTTATCATTATGCTAGACTTATGCCTTGGTATAGTCAGGAAGAAGCTGCTTCTGGGTGTGGAGATTAGCATTTGTGTGACCAACTGAATTAGGCTCTCATGACTAGTTTTCCTGTTTAACCTTCAAGGCAAATGACAAGGGTTTCACCGTTCAAATATTTCATATAATGTGACCAGGAATAAACTTCCAGAATGATCTTTTCAAGCTACTCTTTGTAAGAGTAATTGTGTATCATTGGAAGATCCATGATTTCCTGGAACTGGGGAAGCTCAGCAGCATTGGAAGAAACCACTTCTCTGTCAAATGTGGAGAGGAGGCTAGCCAAAAGAGTAGCAAAAGGCAACATGAAGTGTTTTCTGTCTTTAAACCACTCTGCAGCAGAAAGATATTCTGATATGGAAGCTGTTGCACTGAATATCAAAAATATATTGTGAGTTCTGAGTTCTACTCTTTGGTAGTTTTCTCGAAGTCTTGGGATAATAAAAACATTACAGTGGTGTTTTTCACTATTCTAGAGACAAGTTTGTGAAAGGAATTCAAGCATTTCACATATGAATTCTGAAAAACTGGAACACTTAAGGAAATTCATTTTGAACATAATAGATTTTAAATGGGTGATGCTGAAAAAGAATTTACAGGATTAGTGATGGGAATATCGCTTATGTAGCCTGGTTGGACCTGATTGGACTAGGAGGTTGCCAGTTAAGAACACAGTTTGTGGTAGACTGAAAAGATTGAATTAATTTAGGAAACTTGGCCCTGGAAGAGGGTTGCTTTACCTGAAGAATTTGTTCTGCCTTAAAATATCCCCTGCTCCTCAAAGCTTATGCTGGGAGATGAAATTTCAGAAATTGTGTACCAATGTTACAGTTATTTAAATGTATTTCTGTTTTTGTTAGACCTAAAACTCATAAGAATTTTCTTTCCTATGACCTCATAGTTTGTAAGTCTATTTCTGTCTTTTTTTCCCAGTATCTGAGTTTGCTTTTCTAGACAAATGCAAACATTGTACAACAAGAACAGTAACTGCATGATTATTTACTTAGGGCTTTGCCTTTGCTGAAGTCCTTTCATTGGGGCTTATGTGTGGAGTTGTATGTGCTTAGTTCAGTGAAGTGTGGTTTAGCAAAGTACAGTCAAACAGCAAACATACTGAAAATTTTATCTTACCTTTCCTCTCCTGCAGCACAAAATAATAAGATTATATTATATAGTTATATCAGTAAGCAATGTAGTTCTTAGATCAGAAACCTCTACCTTGTATTATTTTGGGGAGAGTTCTTTTTGGTTTGCATGTGGCTTTTTCCCCTGCTTCTGAATTCCATCTGCCTTACCTCTGATAACAGCAGTGATTTTCCATATTGCTAACAAGAACTTTCCTTTCTGTCCCTGGTGTTCTCAAAACACTTGTCCAGTAATGGTTCATAAAACAATCGTGCTCACTTTATCAGGAAATCTTCTGAGAACTCCTTTTTAACTCCAGATGAAAATTCTCACTGTATCGCTGTAGATTCATGTGAAAAACATCTAATTTCTGATGTATCTCCAGGTGACTACAAAGAAATTGTCTGAGATTCACGCTATCCTGTAGAAGAAGACTAAACCCCATGTGTTTCACAGATAAGGTGCATTCCACAATTGCCTTGCTTCCAGGGAAGCATGCAACCTACTGTGAGGCTCAGGGTGTGTCTAAGGGAATACTTGTGTGTATTTCCCACCCCCACCTCCTGGTGGCCCACAATGCAATAGGACAAGGATCTCTTTTGTCAGAGTGGGCAAGTGTGTTGTGAGCTGCACTGGAGGTCCTCAGCTGCAGTGTTCTTTACTCATGTGGCAACAGCACCCTCCCTGAGCTGCAGCCAACCCACTCGGGTTTGCTCCAGCATTTGGTGGTCGTCTCTCACAACTAACTCTGTGCTGTGGGGAGCTCCCTGTAAGGCTGCAGCTGCCTGGAAAAGATCTTGAGTTTCCAGCTGCCTTGGCGAAGCCTGCCACTGAGGCAAGAACTCAAAGTCACAACCAGGACAACCACAGCAATAAGCATGCTACATGTAAATTCTGGCTCCAGCCTGTAATGGGGAATTTCAGCTCGCCCATATCTGCCCTTCCTTCCCCTCAGGAAAGCAACAATAAGGCCGTGATTTGTCTTGTTTTGTTTTCCAGAATGTCAAAGCAATTTCAAGTACTTCTTCGAGGGCCTCAGGGACATGTTCAAACCTCATACTTAGAGGAACTCTGCTTATCTCGTGCTTAGGGACAACAAGACAAAGTGAGGCCAAACCAAGCAGCTTTTGGAGAATAAGAGCTGGGACCTTGGTTTTTTGTGCGTTTAAAGGCTATGTGGCTGGAAGTCCTACTTGCCTCCCAAGAAGTCTTCCTCATTTTTCAAGGCAAAACTAAAACTGTTAAGTAGCGGGAGATGAAGAAAAAGAAACAAATCAAAAAGAAACCCTTTGCCAGCAATGAAAGTGGGAGACTAGACAGAAAGTCTAAGAGGATATGAACACAGGACTGAGGCACGGAGATGTGACATGGAGCTCTTGCTACTTCTCCCTCTTTGCTAGACTCCAGAAGAGAAGGAAATTCTTGGAGAATGGAGTCATTTTTTGAGGACAGAGAGAGTCAAGCCCATTCCCTTCCAGCACTAATGCTTTTTATGATGCTGCCAGGGTCCCTTGCCTGGAAGACAATGAGATCAGAAGGTCCCATGATCTCCTCTGAGTCCCTAAAGGGGCAAAGGGCAATGAGAGAGATTTCTTCAGTTTGTTCCCTGTTTTTTTCAAAAGAATCTCTGCTTGTGACCTGCAGACCCAAGAGCTCTTGTTTAAGAAACAAAATGCTTCATGGGATCAAATAGTACAGGTCTCCATTTACTTCCAAGAGGGTCATGGAGGGGAGCAAAAGTGCTACTCACTGTCACTCTTTATAGGACTACACAGTTAAGGCTTCTTTCCTTCCATTCTCTCCCAAAGCCTCTTTGTGGATTTCTCCACTAGAAATAGTTTCATCTGTTCAATTTTGTCATCCAGTTCCACTGGAAATGCAGGCACAAACTGAACCACACAGTTCTAAGGTGACTAAGGGTGCAGAAAGGGGTGGAGGTTTGACATGTACAGTTTGACCCAGAACTGCCAAGCACTTGTAAGAATTCTCTGACAGCATCCGCTTGGAAACCTGATTATGGGCAGCACGGACCCAGCACCAAAACTGGAAGGACTGCAACATAGAGCACTGTGACACCACCCGGTGCATGCATGTAAATGCCTTTCAGAATAATTTTTTTTCAGTGCTTACTAAGAGCATACAAGTGTCTGTGGGGAAACAGGAGCATTCCTTCTTGTCAGAGATAAAACCCTCTACTTCAGGAAATAGAAACTTCCTTTCGAGGCAGCTTGCTTTTTTGGTCCCAAGTAATTTTACATTCTTAGCCATAGACTGCCCTGCAGTGGTGAAGTCAAAATCTGCAGCCCTACTGTCTTACATAGAATCTTTAAACTTCCTTATTAAGAAGTAGTTCACCCATCACTAGAAGGGCCAGAAAGAGCCCATGCAAACAGAGCAAACAAAAAATGAATGCAGCAAGGAAGATTTCAGATTTCAGTGTAAATATAGTGTGCAGCAAAATGCCACTACTGGCTAGTAATAGTTTATCTTTTTTTCATAGGAAACAAGGCAGATTTGATCACACCTTGTATCTATTTGTGTCTGGAAGTTATTTTTTGACTTCAGCCAAATTTAACTGCAAAAATGAAAAACTCAAAGACAGCTAAATCTCAACAGATTTTGAGAAAAGCAGTTTTTGCAAAAGACTAGATGAAAAGTATGGCTGTTGTATCAGCAAAGAAATTGTTAGACAACAAAGAATCCACAGAGGAGAATGACTTTGTAGGTGTCCCAGGAGGTAAATATCAGTCACATCTCACAATGAACATAGAGATAAAAATCCTTAAAAACCCATAGTGAAGCAGAAACCAGGCTTCATTAGTTGCTTTGTAAACTGACAAAACTTCCTTAGATCAGCTACCTCTCCAACTCCACATAAATTAGCTCTCCAGTCATAGTATTGGAAAGCTTAAAAACATCTAGAGTTTCATTTTCTGCGTGTTCCTACCAGTGTCTGCGTCCTAAGCTGCAGCACATTTGATAGGCTAGTAGCAGCACAAAATAGTGCCACCAATCCCTTAGGTAGCAAAGATGCTACTATTGAGGTTGGCTGTTGCTCAGACTCTCAGAAGGGTAAAACACAATTACGTGTTCATTAACAGAGACAAAATAATACCAAAAGCCTTTTTTTTTTCACATACAACAGGGGTTGTTTACCCTCATTGTACTTCAGATGATTCAAGAGATGAACAACTTCCGGCTAATCTGCTTCAGCTCCACTTATGGCAAGATCAGATAAACAGGCACTTTTGAATGCAATTCAGCCAACCTGGTTTGGATGTGTTCTTTGTTGTGAAACGAATGTCAAAAATGGCTATTGCTCTCCATTTGCTGTAGAGGAAGCCTAAGATTACAAGCTTAGAGATGGGCATCTGTTTTGCAAAGGTTGGAATTTGGAGAGCTCTTACTATAGCAGTAACTGTACATCTTGAAAGCACTGTGAATGAACATATGTGAACATAGCTGAGGGACTATCTTTTTAGTGAAAATATATAACTGTGATGACCTGAGACAGTTCCAACATACACAGCCTTCCTAAAATAAGATCTGATGCTAAACTAAAAGTTTCTCCAAGTAATCTGAATCAATTATTCATCTTTGGCTTTGTTCTGGCAGACAGAATCAACTTCTCTGCCACCTTAAACATTGAAATTTCAATTTTTAGGGAGCCAGAAATAGACCCCCCAAAAAATTTAGGATATATATCACTCAACCTCCATTAACTTGAAAAAGAACTTCTCTTTTAGAACTCAGACTAATGAAAACAGTACGTAAATAACTACAGAAGCCATGTGTTTTTGAAATGTGCTTTTAATCATTCAGAGAAAATAAGCAGATTTTAAAAAGGATCCAAAAGGCTGTGCACTTGGAAGAATACAAATTTGTGTTCTTATTTTGTCACAAATAAATAGAGCACTGTTCAAAGTAATCAGAGAACAAATAGGATGCATTTACTGGGAAAAGTAATGTTCAAAAGTAGTCAAGAAAGCTAAGAATGGTGCACAGGCCTTTCAGTCAAATGCTGCTAGTTTTTTTCTGTCTTCATTTTGATGTTAAGCTGATGGCCGTCTTGGTACGGTTCAGAGATCTTGCCTTGTCATTTTCTTCTCTGCAACTCACTGGATTGTGGGATCTGGCATTCAGTGTCTTGACAGCTGCAGCTTTCCACATAGATGTACTTATGTGTCATTGAGTACCCACCAGGACACTTCAGTACCACGTACTTCTCAGTAGTCTGTGATTCTCTGCAGCAGGAACAGCTGTGATCCATAGAATTGGCCTCAGCAGAGTATCTAGTAAAATAGAAAATGGCAACATTACTCAGTGCCAGAAGCCAACATACAGAAGGAAAGGGTGAAATCACATACAGAACTCCTGTGAGAAGCTGCAGTTGTGGCTAATGGAAGCGCTAAGTTCATCTAACAGAACAGTGATTAAAATAATATGCTTTTAAAATTCATTGCACTTGCTGAGATTTCTTTTTTTTTGGTAAAACCATTCATATCAAAGTCCTATAAAAAACCCTCAGTGAGTACAAGATCATCAGCTTCCTTAGATCCCTCTCATAATCCTAGCACTGATGGATGTTAAATACACCAGATCAACAGTTTAGGGGGAGACAAAGCCTTGACCTGAATATGAAAACTGCATAGACAAAGGCCTACAACACCATATAGAATGGCATCACATCAATCATCTACAAAAGCTAAAATTGCATCACAGGAAAAAAATGCATATCCCAGTCAGGGCAGTGCTAACAGGAAAGGGAAGCAGTAGCTCTTTCTGTTTCTATCTCAAAGTATTTTTTGCAGTCTTGTGTTCATCAGCTTCCCAAGCACCATTCCTAACCTGCAGAATATGTCTATATCAGGCTATGAACTGCATCAAGATCCACCTTTTTTTTTGTATTTGTGTGCAGAAGCAACCACAGAAAGACCCTAGGATAATATGTATGGCCAGTCTTCGCGAGCGAAGATTTGGGAAAGGTCATTAACCCTTCGAGCCTGCGCAGTGGATTTTTTAGGTGAGACACAGCGTGCGCTGAACTGAGCCCACCCTTTAATCCTGAGGTTCATCTGCCGGGGCCAAGCAAACTTGGACAGTGGCAGTGAGGGTCTCAGGATGTAGGTTTGTTTAGAGTGACCTTCTCTTAGATGGATTGCCTCACAGGGCTGACGAGCTCCATCTGCCCGGGGGGCTGGGAATCGAACCCGGGTCGCAGCAGTGAAAGTGCAGCACCCTAACCACTAGACCACCAGGGGCCCCTAGGATGATAAGGTATTTCAAAATACTAATAAACTCCCCAGCCAATCATAGTTTCATGTGATACTAAAAATCAGTTTTCTCCCATGTAAGGTACCCTGTGGCATACTCAGTGATAGGCAGCAAGTGACAGTTTCTTTGGGGAGTTAGAATTGTGTTTTTCCAGTGCTCACTACCAGGTGTCCCATTAGCCACTCCCTTATAGCCACTTTTTTGTATATTCTCTCATTTCAGAGAAAAATGTACAGTCAAAATACTCTACTAATACCATCCCTAAAGCATCAGTTTTCTAATTTATATACTGTATAAAAATTGTAGGTTTGAATCTTCCTTTAAAAGATGTATGTGTTTCATTTTAGATGTTAACTATTGAGAAGCAGTTTTTGAGCTTAAGAGAATCAAGTCTGGCTGCTCCCTGGGCTCATTCCTATTACAGGAAATTATCCACAGGAAATTATCTTTCCTGATGATTTCTAGCAAAGGTGGTCTGACACAAATGACAGACAAGACAGCTGTTACTGGGTGAATAGACCTTATCATATCTGTCTGAATCCCAAGGAAATTTAATACATTCTTCTGCTTTGCATTAAGACAAATCAACTGTTCAGTCACAGATTTCATGGTTTTGTGTCTATGATTTGGGGAGCAGATAGTCCCAAGTCTTCTACCATTCTGTAGTCTGCCTATTTATTGTTCCTTTTATATAAACAAGCTCAGTGCCAGCAGAATTTAAATCTCATTGTCTGATAAGTTTACTTACAGCGAGACGGTTCCACATGTTCCCTCACACTCAGTCATGACAACTCTGTCCACGGAACGGCAGCCATTATAGACAATAAAGTCTTCTCTTTCACGGACAGAGCACGGTGTACTGCTATCCAGCGGTGCACCTAGAGGGAAAGATCAGAAAATACGCACAGTGAAATACCTCCAGAAGTTCCTTGCAGTTCAGCATTCCCTCGGCTTCACTAGTGCACTCAAAGAACTGTCTTAAGTGGTTTTTCTGCTTCAGCTTAAACTTTTCCAGAGAGATTGGACAGTGAATGCTTGGAATAACAAACATAAATATAAAAATATCTATTTAAATAGAAATATATCAGCCTCTATTACTGGAAAATGGTTTGATTGAAGAAGACAATTCATTCTCTGTATTGTTGATTCAGATACACTGGGATACTTACAGGTTTTGCAACAACCATTAGGTAAGAATGAAATAGTTCCCTAAAAGAACAAAGAAACAGAAAAAAATTATATTGTTTTATTTCTCAGTATTGAAAGAGGCTTTTAGGCCAATAACTAAAGAGAGCAATTCGTCAATCAATGGCTGGAAACGACCAGTGAACACTGCAGCATCGATCTGAATAAGTAAAGATAATGGTCTCTTCCAGACTTGAAATCTATCAATTTAAAAAGGATTGTGAAAATAAAAATAACTCTTTGAAGGAAGTCTACAGTTAACATAATGTCATTTTTCCTCAGAAACTATTCCAATAAATGCTTTCTTGAAGTTTTCTGTATTTGAATGAGGAGTATGCGCAGTGTTACAGGCAGCCTATTGACTGAACAACTTCTGTTTCTGTAACATTCAAGAAAACATGGTTCCTGTTGAGACAGGACCCCAAACAAAGCAATCAGCAAAGACTTAGTATCTCAGTGCTGACCAGTATTTTGGCTACTGAGAGACAGTTACCAGTTATAAGCCTCAAATTCTCACCCAGATATTTTATACACTGTATAGGGCTGTGCATGGATGCATTAGAAACTTTTGCCCTTGTGACTGAGAAGCTATGGTGAAGGGTCATCAGAGCTTAATTTTACTTTTGTTCTTAGTTAGATGGCTGAACTAAACTGAAGTAATCTATATATGGAGTAGAGGGTAAATTTTCCATTTTTACTTACAGGTTTGCAGCTGTCCTCATTAAATGCTGGACAGGTAATCTCAGATGTGGAAGAGATAAGCTGGTTGTGGATTTCTACACAGCTATAAATGGTGCAGTTGTTGTTAGGATCATTTTTAAAATCTCCAGGCTGCAAGCAAAATGCAAAATGTAATAAGAAAAGCTGAAGGGAGCTCAGACAGAAATTTTCTTGTCCTCTGACAATGACTTTCCTCTTGTTTCCCAGTAAATTATTTTTAACAGCCATTTCAGATACAGATTGTTACATATACTGCAATGTACCATATATGGAAAGAATCTTCAGTTTTACATGGGATTTTCCTTGAGAAAGAAAAATGCCTCTAAACTATGTAGAGTACCTTAACAAAATCACCCACACACAGCTAGACCATTATATGCTAATTAAGAACAATCCTAAACTTCCACCCTACAGGGGCAATACAATTGTTCCATATGCAGGCTTTACTAGTGTTCATACAGAAATCAAACAACGTAGATAAGCCCAAGCTTCCAGACAACTGAAAGAAAATCCCTTCCAATGGTATTGGATTTGTCATTCCAAGAAGAGCCTTCCAGAAAATTTGATTTCATGAGACCTACCTTCAGGTAAAAATATTGTAGATAGGTTTTGCTTTAGATGAGTCTTTGATCTTTCAGGTGTAAACTTACACTAAGCCTTGTCTCTGGCAAGGAGATGTTCCCCTTCTGAAACAGGGAACTTTACATATTTGGTAGAGACACAGAATGTAGAGCATACTTACACTCAAGATGAGTTCATCATTGTTTGCATGTATAATACACTTGGTCTGCACACATTTTCCACAACATTCACCTTTCACTGGTTGAAGTTCATATCCCTAGATATTAAAATTAATTAAAAACAATAGCACTATAATAGATGAATTTTTGAGAAATAAATGAAAACACACCAATCCATTGATTGATTATACTTTGAAGTGCACTCTAGATTTGTGACTTTCTGTGTTCCAACCCAATAGAAGACAAATAATAAAAGCAGATTATAGATGGAATAAATTAAAGCACTGCAATGCAATAAATATGCCTAATAATTGAATATCCCTCCATTAAGTGCTCTACAGAAATTTCCCAGCTAATCTGGCCAATATGAACTGAATACTGTCAGTTTTGTAGTCAAGCTGCATGCAGCAGATTGCTCGAAGGACAGTTGGCATCCACACTGGAGTTGGTCTCTGAATTTCAACTCCCTGTTCTTTGCTTAATACCACTCATTGATCAAAGTGATTTTCACATAAATGAGTATTTTGGGTTTTTTTGTTTAGGTTTGTCACTTACCGGTGCACAGTATGTATTGCATGGAAGAGGTTCACATGAGATGATATTCAGTTGAGTGCTGACGTTAACTTCATTTGTGCAGAAACAATTCTGACACTTATCAACAAAGACTGAGGAGTTAGGCTAAAAATTTTAAGAAAAAAAAAGCATATGTTAATGGTATATGACATGTTTGACATTTATTTTCAAAAAATCTGTAAATCAAGCAAGGGAAAAGGAAAAAAATCTTAAAGACAATTGGATAGCTATCTGGCTAGCCATTTATAAAGCCAACATTTTAAACACTGAATATAATTTAATGTGTGTCTTTATGGAAGTCCTACATAGCAATGATAAACTCTGATATTAAAAGGACAGGCACAATTACTAGGCCCAAGAGAATTTATTAGAAATCTAGGTTTGTTTAGAATAGCACTTATTCACGTATCTTTTAATTTTTGAAAGCAGAGTCTTAAAACTGCAACAATGTACTGACAATAAATGGGGACTGACTTTTTAAAATGCAAGCACATTTAACCCAAATCTCTCTCCTGATACTGACATACAAGCAACTCTTCCATTTCTTTCATACACAACAACCTTTTCAGGAGAGATTTAGGCTTTGTGAAATTGATGACCTCCTGACAGAAATTGGAAAATTTCTAAAATATTGATTGTACTGGATAAACCTCTTCACAGTATTTGTGATCAAGTATACTAACTGGTCTTTTAGGCATTTTTAGAACTTACCAAGAACTCAGCACTCTCGTGAACACAGACTCCCTTGGGAACTGTTAAAAAGCAAGAAGTTAGATGTTAACGTAGGAAAAAAGAATAAAAAATTTCTTCGCACCACTCTAGTCAAACTCATTTCTTCCACAATGAATTCAAATTCATTGGTTATTCCTCCATTCTGGTAGCAGACATGACATGTATAAAGTATAAGAACTAATACTGCATGTGCAAAAAGGGAAGATTTGTCCTAATATATGCAGTCCAGTTCATAGCCAAGAATGTCCAGTTAATAGGTACCAAGTACTTCCTTCTTTCAATTACCAAGAACAAAGTAGTCTTTGTAAAGCTGTCTTCTACTGGGGATGCTTATGGGGACTTTTTGCTAGATTAAGCTGAGACCACAGTCACAGTTAATTCTGTAGCTGATCTTACATGTATTTACAATCAGGAGAATTGAACTTGAGTCACCTGAGGTGTTTCTGATTTCCTAGTTGTCATAACTATAGCAGTAGTAACCAATGTTAATAGTAACTAATTTCTAGAATCTGACTGTATTGAATATCTCCTTCAATAGGCTATTGCATACAGTCTTATTAAGTGTAATGATCAATTCTGTAATATATAATGCTAATCATTGTAATATATTTCCAAGGAACTTACCACATTGGTACACAGGACAGCACTGACCACTGGGAATATAAGAATGAATTTCAAATCCCAGTGTGCACTTGGGAGCTTTAGCTGTGCAGAGGCTTGTATTGCATTCTGAGGGAAAAAAAAAAAAAAAGAATAAGCCAAAAAGTACACTATATCACAGCTACTAGAAATAAGCACCTATCAAAGCATTTAGGATGAACTTTCCATAGGAAACAGACCAGATTCTCTTCAGATAAACAAATTGCAGAAAGGGAACCTATTTTTCCTAGTAAATCTAGGCACTTGTTTGGGGGTACTGCATTAGTTTATGAAACTTTTTCTACTAGGTAATTATCCTGTATTAATAAAGTATCCCAATTCTATGCAGAGAAGTAATGAACAGCTGTTACTCTCTCCAGTATTATAGGCAACTGCTGCAAAATGAAAATCCACAGAGAATTCTTGCTTGAATAAAACTCAAGAACTAGAAATTGAGTTGTGTTGAGTCCCATAACTGTAGATTCAGTTATCCTGAATAATTTCAATATTAAAATGCACTTTAATTGCTGATTTTAAAAGGCATGAGGAAAAATACTGTTTTGGGACTAACTGCTACAGGTCTGGTGCTAAAGTAGTGCAGTCTCTCTCTGTTTCTAAGCAGTATAGAAAAACTAGAAACATAGTATAAACTCACTGCAGGTGACAAGAGGGCAGCAGGAGTCTTCAGGATTGACTTCAGTGACCTGATAGAAGCCTTCTCCATTACAAGTGACATGTTGTTCAGCACATTCATGAGGCTGGCATACAATGCCATATTCCCCTTCCAGGCAAGTACAGTCCTGACAGTCTACTATAAACTTTTCCCCAAACTGTCATTAAAGAAAATAAAATTAGTGATTGCACAGTTACCAATTAAAAAGAACAGAAGTAAAATCAGGAATAAAAAGCTGGGAAACCACAAAACAAGCCTGCACCAGTGGAGACCGCTCTCTTCTCCCAGTCCCCAACTTCTACTTTTAATCCAAAAGCATATGGCATCGTACCTCTCTTGGGATCATATCCACTCCAACACAGCCTGTGAAAATATCAAAATAAATCTCCATTACCAGTTACATACCAGTAGGCATCTCTACTATATGTTGACTGCATACAGTCAGACCTGTGTTGCATACATAAGAAGGAAACAACAGAGAGGAAGCGAATATGCATCCAAGTGAAGTGATAAAACTCACCACAGGTTTTCACGCAGACATCCACGCCAGAGTCATACAGCATTGTTCCATTGGGACAGAAACAGCCTTCCACTTGTTTAGTTGAAGTTTCATTTTGGTGACTATGAAACAAAATGTTCAGAGGAACACCATTACTGTCATAGGCACATAGAGGAGGATTATGCCAAATAACCTTTCACTGAAGATACAGTGACAAATGATCTTCAGATTTGTGATTAGAGATTGTCAGTGTTTGTGTTTGGTCTAGCTGAACAACATAAACAGTAGAGGCACCCAGACATAGGATCAACAGAACAGTGGTAACAAATTTGTCAGTTTAAGATATGAAAGGAGGTTGATTTTCCTCATTCATCTGTGCATTAGATATGAGTGAACAGTTGTAGAAGGTATAACTAACTAATTATTTACCTTGATTTGCAGGTTGGCTCTTTAATAGGACCACATGCTCTGAACTCTTTTCCTGAGGGGCATTCGTGAGCTGGAATGGAAGAATAAAAAGGAGGAAGAGCTCAGTAACTGTCATATAAAAGCCTCATGACCTTATGCCAAGAACTTAAACAGTGTTTACTCATTCTCCTATGTATCTGTGACAATCCTGAGAAGCAAGGAGAAAAAATCTCAGATATCAGACTCATGTCTCCGAATGAAATTATTTTATGCAATTTAGCCAGAGATAGGGAACCATCTTTACATTAATGTGATAAAGCCAAGAGACTGCATCTCGATTACAATTCTTTTGCACAACTTCTCAGGAGGGAGTGTATTCCTACTCTTTGTCATCCTCTTACTACAGCTGAAAAGTAATGCATATATCACTAAATAGAGTGATCTGCTGATGCCTGCAAAACACAAAACTGTCTGTGTACATAAAAGGTGTGTACTGATATAGATGTTTCTGGCACAGTCAATAGATGTTTATTTTTGCAGGCTCATTTATATTTCCATTGTTAAAAATGTTAACTGCAAAATTACTTAAGGAAAGCAGCTGGTGTGATTTATTGTTGTCTTCATTGCTCGGAAAGCAGTACAACATTACTATTGAAATGTTTCCATACAAGCTTCCTTAATAATTCAAGATAAATGGCCAAATACTTACAGCATACACCATTGGTGTGACCTCTCCAGTCAATGCATACACCTTGATCAGCACAGGTGGCAGCATAGATCTGCAGACTTGAGCATTCCAGGTCTAGGTTGGGAAGTACACAACTATCAAAAACGCAGGCTGCATAGTACTTTTCAGGCCGCACAAACTCATGGCATGGCTTGAACACACTAGAAACAGAAATATTTATCATTATTAGTTATTGAATGATCCATAAATTTTTCAATGTGCTTAACCTGGTATGATGTGGCAACAGAAGATGTGGACGTGGACTATGGATGAGAGATTTTTACTGAGAGCACTTATCCAGATTGTAACCTTTCAACATATCTTAAAGAATTCTCCACTCACCTACAAAGCACTCAGACACAAGTATTTTCAGGCCAGGAACTACATGAATATTACTGAGTGCAACCATGTGCTCCCTCTTTAAAGACATTTTGTTTGGGTTTGGGTTTTTTTTTTTAATTCTGACATGGTGTTTTAAAAATTAAGATCTTTGTTTTCAGTTGGACTCTGTTTTCTGCTAAGTGAATGTGGGAAAAGGCATAGGACAGAGGAGGGCAAAGACTGTAGAAGCACATGAGAACATCAATGAAGGTTAACATAGCAGTCAGCGGGTTGAAAGAAACTGTCAGCAAAGAATAACAACCAGAAAAAGTAAAAGGAGTGGAAGCAACCCACAAAGCTACAAGAAATAAAAGGTAGAAACACTTTTCATTGAAAAATTAATCCTAAAATTGCCAATTCAATTGAAGATACCAGGCTTGTAAACCCAAGAGGAATGTCTACCTTCCCAAAAGAAGCTCGCAGATGGAAGATTCTTTGCAAGGCTCTGCTGGGGTTGTGCTAGGTGAACTTGTAGGATTTAGGCCTGGAGAGCACTGTGGTTTGGAAGGATCAACAACCTGCCAGTGATCTGCCATGGTTTCACAGTTTTCTGCAATGTTTCCATTCGGCAACATGCAGTCATCTGCGGTGTTGTTATTGCAAGTACCTAAAATTGGTAAGGGGAGAAAGAATTCACTCACAGATTTGTTATCAAATTCTATTCATCTTTGTAAGCAGGGCTGTCATTGTGGTTTTCTGAGAGTACAAATATTGCAAGAGCAAGCCTTACCGCACTGTCCCTGAGTGTTGTTACCAAACAGGCTGTAGGGCATTCTGATAGAAAAGGACAAGCCATTGTAGGTCACATTCATTTTTAGCTCAGGAATTTCCACAACACGATTTATTCCTGACTCATAGATGCTCACGCCAAACTTTTTATAAGGCAAAGCCACTAACTGATTGTTTACTGTCACCTAATAAACAAAGGAAAACAGAAAAGAGGCATATATTTAGTTTGACTTCAGAAAACAATTGACTGTTCATTTGCATTGCAGAGAGAATGTAAAGGTAAATAATATCCTTTTCATTTGTATCAAGTGTCCCTGTGTTTCCTTTTATGTTACTGGAAAGCCAAACTTTTCTTCTCTGAGCCAAAAAAAGCCTATCAACCTCTGTTAAATTAAGATAAAATTCAGGGTTTAAACTAGCTAAATCCTAACACTTAACAGAATCATTAGAGAGACTATGGCATTGAGGTCACCTCGTGAATGTGGAATATAAAATTCTCCTAAATTTATACTGTATAAAGTTTTAACTTTCCTGGAATAAAGGGAATATGCTTGTTGGAAAACTGAATGAAAGAAATAAGACTAAATCTGTATTATTTATTTAAATACTGTAGCCAGGATATGATTCTGTGATTCTATGAACTAACACTACGACTTTTACTCAGCAATGGCAGATTTCTTTGCTTCAGAGAAAAAAAGAAGGTCTAAATGTTGCGAATTTTCAACAATATGCTGCAATCTGACATAATATTCTCACACAGTAATGTACAAAAATAAAGGTACAAAAATAAACCGAACAAAGAGCATAAAGCTACAGACACTTCTCATCCAATTTTGAAGGCCCAAAGCCAGGACATCATATTTATCAATGAAATAAACATGTAAGTGCTCTTATTCCAGAAGTTAAAAAGGTGAAACAAATCAGAGATAGTAATGTAACTTTTTTAAAAGGCTTAAGGCTAGTACTTTATTGTTATGTCTACTTTACATTACCTCCTCCCATTCAATATTTATTGTTTCCTTTGTTACATTAACATTAATTATAAATCAACTTATTTTATATCCTTAACTCTTAGTAATTTGTCCACACTTGTGCATTTAGGAGAGATAGGGCACTGAAAATATTTGAGATTAAAAAGAGAAGAAGAATTTTTTCTCTCATGTTTAGAGTCAAAAAAGCAGTCCTTCAAATCAGTCCCATTTTATAATCTAAACTGTTATTGAATCTAAAACACAGATTACTTTTAATTTTTTTTCAAAACATTGTGAATATACTTATCATTTTGATGTGATATCAAAATCAATGGTAACATTCTCTCATACCTCTACTTCTACAGTATTTGGTTTCACCGTTGCTATCCTCACTTCCTGAGTTTCATGTCTCACAATGAGCGTTCGAGGACAGGAGACCACATCTCGTGAATCACAATGGTAGTTATCAATGTAGACACCAAAGTTGTCAACTTTCTTATTAATCTCTTCCACAAGGACATATGTACAATTCCCTTGGTAGCTGTAGTACAGTCCATCAAAAGTCATGTAATGTGGGTCTCCCCAGCCAGTGCAGTAGCCTAAAAAAGCATACAGCTAAGTCAGACTCTTATGGCAACATACAGAATCAGATCAGACTACAAACAAAATCTATAGGTGTGGGAATCATCTCATCAAACTTTAAGCATTTAAGTTTTTTAAGTGTGTTTGTCAATGCAGGAGCTTGTTATGTAGGAGTCATCAATAAAAAAACAGGCTCTTTCAAGGCACAGTTCATCTGACATTACTGACAGACAACTGAGAATAGGATTAACTGTACCACAGATATATCTTTACCAATAGTCTGAACGAGCAATATATAGGCTTCTACCCTATAGTGTGCATCTGAACATTTAAATCCTGCTTTGGGAGACCATTTTATTCTACTAACCCAACAGTTACGTAGAAATGATGGCAACTTAAGCAAACACTTCAGTTAGCAAAAAAGAATCAATGAAGCACTCCAAACAGACCCACATTAGAAGACTGAGGGTCACAGTCTTGTGCAATCTTGTCCCCTAATAAATATTGTTAGTCATGACAATAGTATTGTTCCCACAGGAGATTAAATACTCAACAAAATATATACTTACAATCACACTCCCAATGCCAACAGCATCCATCCTCATCAATGACTGGCACAGGAGAAAGCCCATTGGCACAGGTAGGTTTAGGAGGTGGATTACAGATTATGGGAATCACCTGGACGATATTGTCTTCTATACATATTGCCTTAGTGCAGTTACAGAGCCACCATGACTCACCTTGCTGTGTTTGAAAAGAGGGGAAGGGGGAAGACAGAGAGAAACCTTATGAAGCAGTGAGTCTGATTATCTTCTGCAGATTTTTAAAACACCATGTGTTTAATGACAATTTTTCCCCAGCAGAAATCTGAAAAGCTGCTAAGTTAAAAGTGTTACTTACAAAAGTCAAGGCACTAAACTGAAATGGGAATCACCTTTTCTAGTTTCAGCTATCTAAAAGTTACATGTTTGATCTAATCTCATCACCTAGACAGCTTCTCTAAGCAACAGTGAAAGACACTGACCAATATCAACGTTCAATATATGATCAATTCCCTTCCATGAATGATTAGAACAGATTAACAGTTAAAGCTACGGTGAATGCCAGCTGTTCGGGAAGAAACATCCAAGGTGATTATGTGCATGCCTTGTGACTGTATGCATTTTTTCTATCTTCCACTGTTTTTTTCAAACCATGTATAATTTTCATTCCTGCATATCTACTGAGCAAGTTGATAGGCATCTAAGCTGTGAGGAGGCTTTAGAATTGTACAAGACATTAATTTGTCTGTCAGAGGTGGAAGGCTCAAAAAAAAATCAGAACTCTCAGTCAAATTTGACGAGCATTTGAATCTGGTGATCTGTTTCATAGTCCTCTCCTGAAACCAGAATATGAACAAGTATGACCCTTTCAAAACTCAGACAAATTCAACGCTCTGGTTTCTTGTTGGGCTGCACTGTAAACACACAATATTTTCCCACTTTGGGCCTAGTCAAAAGCAGAAACAGAAAAGATAGTTTAGCACCACTTAGCTCTTGGTTACCTCTTCATCAAAGTTATCCTGCAATAAAGAGAAACACTGAACAGGGATCTAGCTCCTTGAAGAAAACTTTTTAAAAACAATCCTTGAAGAATTAATAGCAGTATATATCAATCTGAATATCATTAGAAGTCTCGCTGATACCCAAGAAAACAGAAAGAAATAGAACAGGCCGAATCTTCCTATTCAATCCAGTTCAATGCCTACTCTGTATGTTACTAACATTGAAGTTATGTGTCTAGTCTCCATCCAAATCAGAATGCTAAAAAAACCATGAGATCTACTCACCTCATAAGATTCATTAGGTAAAATAGAACATATTTTTTTAGGCGTAGTTGGTGTTAGACCTGTAGTTGAACTTGAGCCACTAACTGGAGTAACGGTACTGTATGTAGAACTTCCTGTAGTGGTGACTGCAGTTGATGTTGCAGTTGTCCCAGATGTACTAGTTGAGCCAGGTGAAAGAGTTTCTAAGGTGGTGGAGGTGGTGGTTGCAGTACTTATGGTAAAACTGCTAGAGGTGGTTCCTGAAGTGGTGGTAAAGGTTTTGGTTGGAGTAGTACCAGAGGTGGTGACTGGCACAGAGCTGGTTGATGCTGAAGACAGAGATACAGTACTGCTAGGAGTAGACCCCAGAGAGGATGGTCCTGAAGTTGTGGTGCTGACAGGGGCAGTATGTGATCCTGTTGGAGGGCTCGCGGTCCTGGTGGTAGTGGTCTCATGGCTAGGTGTTTCTGTTACTGGTGTGGTGCTGGTGGATCTTGAGGGTGTGGGACCTGAAGTAGTAGTTTTGGGGGTCGATTCTGTTTCAGTGACTTCAGAGGTGGTGATGGTCACTGGGCTTGTTGACACCGAGGATGTTGACTGCTGAATAGTGGTGCTTCTGGTAAACACTGTACTTCCTCTTTCTGTTGTTCTAGTTGTTGGCAGTGGAGTAGCTGAAGGAGTAACTGGAGTACTTGTCTTTGTCGGTGTCTCTGATCCAGGTGTTGTACCCTCTTTATGACAGGGAGAAAACACAGTATTTTAGGTAGGGAAATTCCATTTTCTTCATAATTTCATCTCATTTTCTAATAAGCAAATGTAATTCAACAAATATAAGCATAGGGTCTTTAGATAAGAATAAAACAGAAACTGTTTTATTAATGGTTTTTGCATCACAGAGGGATTATTAATAAACTCTCCTACATCTTCTATAGGAGACATTATATAAAAGCTTGATCAACAATCAGTCTCAGGTGGAAGAGCTTCTGTAATGTTAAAACTTGATACTGCAGAGAAGAGTTCAGCTGTCCTAAACCCAGGGGAATCCACTGAGCGATCAACGCTCAGTGAACTCTTTGATTAATTCTGTATTGCCATCTTACTATATTCTATGGACAGACCATTACTCCCTGTGCTACTTCATGTGGCACATTCATACCACCATTGATTATGCTCAGTCATTTGATTCTAACGAAACTGAGCAGTTGCTGGAGCCAGTATATATTCTATATCTAACTCCCAGACTCACTCATAAGATATTTTGGGATGTTAGGAACCCCAATTCACTTTTCTGGTTTTTCATTTTCACATGGCCAGTTTTCATTACAGGCCATGCAGACTCCTTTAAAATAGTATTTAATCAGCATTTTAGAAAGTGTCCAGGGAACTCAGAGGCCAGCCACAGAGCCATCTGTTTGTGCTTTTATAGCATCATGTGATACATGGTAGATAGAGTAGTACTGTGTACATAATAAGAGTGCAGTAATGATCCTGGAGGAAGTAAGATAACACTGTTTCTGCCCACACAGTCCACAGAGAGAGTCCTTCAACAAAAATTAATTTGCATCTGGGTGAGAACAGGCAAACCCCTTCATGTACTTCATGTATTCTTACAGAGGAAGATTCCCTGGGATGGCAGAGGATATTGACATTGCTGCCAAAATGTTAGCTTTGTATGATTTTTTAGAAATATACATCAACCACACTCCTGTAGAGTACAAAAACTAAGATACATGGTAAGCTGCCAATAAATCCAAATTTCTCAAACCCACAAAAAAAAAGAAAGCCACAGAATTACCTAATGCTAATGTAGTTGGAGGCTGAGGGGTCCTGGTGACAATACTTTCAGGAGGTGAGGTGGTTGTTGATGATCCAGGAACAGTTGTGGTTGTCCCTGGGGTGCTGCTGCTGGTGGTGCTGATGGGGGGCACCGTGGTGCTGGCAGTGCTGGTAGAAGTCTCCCCTGGTCTTGCAGTGGGAGTGGTTGTTGATTTTGTTGAAGGGGATGCTGTGCTTGGTGTCGATGAACCTGGGCCTGTTAGAAACAGCAGGCACAGAGAAAGGAGACAAAGGCACAAGATGTATGAGTGGGACTCCATATGCTCTGAACAGAAATAGCATATTATGCAGCTGACACAAACCTACAGCGCTCAGGACAGTTTTAGCACAGGAAAGACCTCTATAACTAGCCCCAAGAAAGTAGGCTCCTTGCAAATCATGGCTGTCCTTTCCCAGCAAAGAGATTACGGATGGTGCTGGAAGTTGCCTCTCACAAAATCAGAAAGAACTACCAGGAGGAGGAGTAATGATTTCGAGCTGCCTTGGGGTTTTCTATCTCTGCCTCATTAACTAAACAGCTCACTGACTCACGGAGTAAGAGGTGAGAGTGGAAGCTATGATCAGGGAAGGGACTATGCCCAGGAGTATGTTATAGGATTTCCCTGCAGTATAATGTCAGCCCAATGAAGGGCTTCCCAGAGCACTACTGGATGTCATCAGCCAAAGACCACAGTTCACACCAAGTGGCAGTCTGCAGAGTGAAACTATTCCCTAAAGCCTGCCAAGAGAATCCTTCCTTCCTGCTTCTATAACCACTGCCAACCTTTAGCACTGACTGGGAAAATAAGGAGGAGAAATGGAGGAAAGTCCGCACAGCTGTGCTCAAACAGTGCCTAAAATACCAGTACCAAAAAACAGTACCCGCACCCCAACTGTATACCATAGGTCCACTGACTACATTCTGGACAGATGAAAGACGAGGTCCTACAGCAGCAAAAGTGAGGTTTCCCATCAGTTCAGCATCTCTCTAAGCTGGACATCAGGATGAAATACATCCCCGCAACCCTGTTGAGTCAGGGAAGCCAAGACCTTCTCCCCAGAAACCCTCAATTGTTGTTCCTTTGAAATAATCAGCCCAAGGGCCAGCTTTGGGCATAGGCCACTTTCAGAGGATAGCCAGCAGTTACATCTACATCTGATCCCATAGAGAGGCAAGAATAGCCCCCGAGATTAGCTCAGTTGCCTAGAGCATGCTGCAAATAACACCAAGATTGTGGGTTTGATCCCTGTAAGAGCCATTCCATCTCAGAATATTCTTTCAAATCCTTCTGTGAAATAGAGGTGCTCATGAACCTCCATTACCCCCAAAGCAAGGGAACATATGAAAGCAAAAAATGCAGAAGTACCTGGAGGTGGTAGGGTGGTGGTGTATGTTGGTATGGGCGTGGATGTGCTTGAAGTAGTTGGGGTGGGTGTTGGTGATCCAATAAAAATTGTGGTTGTCCCTGGGGTGCTGCTGCTGGTGGTGCTGATGGGGGCCACCGTGGTGCTGGCAGTGCTGGTGGAAGTCTCCCCTGGTCTTGCAGTGGGAGTGGTTGTTGATTTTGTTGAAGGGGATGCCGTGCTTGGTGTCGATGAACCTGGGCCTGTTAGAAACAGCAGGCACAGAGAAAACAGACAAAGGCACAAGATGCATGAGTGGGACTCAATGTGCGCTTAACGGAAATTGCATCTTAAGCAGCTGCCACAGTCCTATAGCGGCCAGCCCACTCTTGGCACATGAAAGGCCTCTATCATTAGCCCTTCATTTCTGCCCCTAGAAAGCAGACTCCTCGCAAATCCATTGGGTCACGGCCATTCTATCCTGGCAAAGAGACTAGGGATGGTGCTTCAGGGTGTCTCTCACAAAAAGAGAAAGACCTACCAGTTGGCAAGAGATTATGAGGAGTAATACTTTTGATCTGGCTGAGGCTTTCTGTATCTGCCTCATTATCTAGAATATCTTTGTACCTCATCGAGTAAGGGCTGAGAGAAGGTGTGATCAGGGAAAGAAGCATGCACAGGGATATGTTCCTGCCTGATTGTCATGTACTTGTCCTAATGTCACCCTCATGAATGGCTTCGCAGAGTACTAGAGGATGTTATCAGCCAAAGACAACAGTTCACAGGAAGTGGTAGTCTGCAGAGTGAAACTGTTCCCAAAAGCCAGCTAGGGGAGTCCTTCCTTCCTACCACTGCCAACTGTTAGCACTGATAGGGCAAAGCAGGAGGACAAAGTAAGGAAAGTTTGTACAGCTGTGCCAAAAGAGTGCCTGAAATGGCAGTGCCAAAAAATCCAAGCACCACTTCAATTGCACAACATGGGTCCAGGAATAACATTCCCAAGAGTTGAAGGATGAGGTGCAACAGCAGCAAAAGCAAGATTTCCCGTCACTTCAATATCTGTGTAATATAGGGCTACACTATGACGTACCTCCCAGAAACCTGTTGAGTAAGGGAAGCCAAGACTTCTTCCCAAGGACCCCTAAATCCTCAACACATCTGAAATATCCAGCCCAATGGCCAGCCTAAGGCACCGGTTATTTCAGGGAATGCCCAGCAGTTTACACCCATTCCCAATCCCATACAGAGGTACAAATGGAGGTGCTCATTGAGTTCAATTCCTCCCAAAGAACAGGAACATATGAGAGCCCCGATCAGAGAAGTACCTGGAGGTGGTAGGGTGGTGGTGTATGTTGGTATGGGCATGGATGTGCTTGAAGTAGTTGGGGTGGGTGTTGGTGATCCAATAAGAATTGTGCTTGTCCCCGGGGTGGTGGTGCTGATGGGGGTGGTGCTGATGGGGGGCACCGTGGTGCTGGCAGTGCTGGTGGAAGTCTCCCCTGGTCTTGCAGTGGGAGTGGTTGTTGATTTTGTTGAAGGGGATGCCGTGCTCGGTGTCGATGAACCTGGGCCTGTTAGAAACGGCAGGCACAGAGAAAACAGACAAAGGCACAAGATGCATGAGTGGGACAGAACACAAATATGCTCTAAACAGAAATTGCATGTGAGGCAGCTGCCACAGATGGAAAGAGGTCAGCCCACTCTTGGCACATGAAAGGCCTCTATCAGTAGCCCTTCCTTTCTGGCCCCAGAAAGAAGACTCCTTGAAAATCTGTGCACAGACAGGGTCATGGCCCTCCTCTCCTAGCAACAGATTAGGGATGGTACTGGAAGGTACTTCTCAGAAAATCAGAAAGATCTACCAAATGGTAAGAGATGGAGTGGAATAATGCTTTTGATCTGGCTGGGGTTTTCTATCTCTGCCTCATTAACTAAAACCCTCACTAACTCATGGAGTAAGAGGTGAGAGTGGAAGCTGTGATCAGGGAAGGGACTATGCCCAGGAGTATGTTCCCACCTGATTGTCGTAGGATTTCCCTGGAGTGTAACGTCAGCCCAATGAAGGGCTTCCCAGAGCACTACTGGATGTCATTAGCCAAAGACCACAGTTCACACCAAGT